TAATTACAGATAAATACGTCTGCGGATCAGATATATAAAGTTGTGATAAGAATTTGCATAGATGCAAAGTTGTAAAATAGCTATTACATTAGAAAGAGAGTGCAAACAGTATAAAATCTTTCAGGTATTAAATATAACATGTTTCTAGTAGGATCTATTACATATCCAAGTTTTTCAAACTTTACGTAGACGTAATCTGTGAGATCTATACTTAATTTTACGTTATTAAGTTGAGGAGCTCTTTTCCTATTGGCTCAATGTATATTTTTATGTTAATTTGTCACGTTTTAGGCTCAGTGTCCACGATGTAACAAACCTGGTATTATTCGACGGGCAGAATATCTGGACAAAGTGGCATCAACTTTGCATCAAATTCGCGATATTCTTTTGAAGGAAGATTCACAGGAAGGCAAAAAACATTCGCAAAATTTGGCAAAGAAACGCAAACAAGATTTTGTCGACTTCTCCGAAGATGAACGGTAACCTTCACGTATAGACAAAAACATGATGCGAGTATACTCCAACTCCTATATAATATTCCAACACTATAGATTTTATTGTTAAGTGTGAATGTTAGCTGCAGTGCTGTCATCCCATAAGCAGCCCGATCTAAACCGATTCTGTTGTTAAGAAAAAAGTGTAGACCTTCGGCTTCGTTTGTTTGTTTGTGCAGATTCAAGGGAGAGGTCACTGTTAATTCTTAAAGTAAGATTTCGTAGTCTTATATCTGTTTATCATTCTAAACATACTTAGATTACAATTTAATGCTGCCTGTTTTCGTTCTCCTCTACATAAGGTGTCCGTGAAATAAAAAAGTTCACCTGAATATTTGTTTACAGACCATCGCCGAAAGCTAACAAACTGAAGTCGATTAGAGCGAAAAAATCTGTGAACAGTCCACTTGTTATTCAGAACAGATCCGATGTCGGTGGCCAAGTAATATTTGCCAAGAAGTCAACGCCAGTTACTCCGTCAACCCCGAATATGGGGATAGTCAATTCTGTTAGCGATGTACGGCACCGCATTCCAGACTCCAGAACTCCTACAGGTGTCTCCGGGTCGATTGTGCCCAAAAAATTGCTTAAACAAGCTCTCCTGTCGCCTGTGGTGGCAAGCCAGAGACCTCAAGCTGTCGACAGTGATGACGGAACCGCGACAAGTCAAGACACAGACTTTAGCTTCTCTGGAGTTGTAACACAGGTCGAAAGAAGTGTAGAAAAGCCGCGGCTCGAAGTAGCCCATCGAAAGCAATTAACTGTTAGCGGCGCTGTTGCAGTCTCGGTGAGCGCTAACGACCATAACAACGATTCTCTTATTCCCATAGATATCATTATACCTCAGAAAAAAAAAAAAAAAATATATATATATATATATATATATATACTGTTTAAGTTATCATCAGTGTCATGAGAGATATACAGGCTTCTATCTAACATTGTTAATTTACTGTTTTTCTTAACAAGGCAATCGAGGCCACGGACAGCCCGGTAGGCGTTGCAGAGCCCCACGTTAACGCCTCATGTCCCATAATTTCGCTAGCGGACTCACCATGCTGCGCCTGTCAATGTCATCGAGCACTTAGTCCTGAAACAGCGATGAAAGGCAAACGAAGTAGCGCAGTTCAGGTTCAAAAGTAAGTTGACACAGATTTCTGTTTTATATACCATACTAGTGAGTGCAGTATTTGGTTAATATCGATATGCATATAAAAGGAAAACGTATACGCCGCGTGGTTACAATTGAATAACGAGAGTGTTTGTAAATGCTATGTTCCATATATAGTTATCTTGCATTTGCCTCACAGATAAGAGCAGCAAACGGGTACCGCATCCAGCCATGGGCCTTCTTATTTTTTGTTTTTACCGTTATAGCATTGTTTTACTATTATAGTACCATTGTTTTTAATCTTTTGTAGTATACTTACATTGGATGTGTCGACTTCAATGCCACGAGTGACGACGAAGGAAGTGTCCATTGGAACAGATCCATTAGCGGCTGATAGTCAAAGGGTTTCTTCAACAAAGGTTCTCTCTGTCGGTGAGTACTGCTGCGCTACATTGCATTCTATATCGTAAGCATATTAGGACACTTAGTGTATCTACCACAGTTGTGCATATGTCAGTGGCTAGCCGATTACAGTGGGTCAGTCTTTGTCACTTAAAAGGCAAAACATGTCTTGAAGATAGCACATATTTCAATCTAATTATCTAGCTAATAAATAGTCCCAGGTCGAGTAATGTCGTGTGTGAAGAAATAAAGAAAACTACCTAATGATACTAAAAACCTGTGGTTAACATTTGTATATCTTTTCTTTCTTTTATTTCGAGTTTTACGTCCGGTACTTGAACCGTTAGGTATTCCTTCAAATGGCTGGCTTTCAGTACGAAGCCTGTTAAGGTCCGGATACGAAGTTACACCCCCATTTGTCCTTAAGTGTAGTACCGGAACACGTTGGTAGGGCGCTATCACAGGGACAAATATATCTATTCTTTATCTGTTCAAATATGCTGTTTAGCAGGTGTTAAAACAAGTTACTGTAACCATAAGTATTTCATGACACGAAGCTTTTTAGAAAAAAAATTCTAGACATCTCTTATGTCCATCACCAAAAAAAACCACGGAGCTAACTTTTTTGTTTGTCATAACAATCAACTATTTTTTTTGTTTTTTCTTTTATTATAATACAGAGGTTCAGACTGATCGTCCATACGTAGCACCACCCAAACTCTATCGAGAGGCCATCGTTCAGACGGATTTGGGCTTCGATATTGGTGAGCCATCTGACGTTGACCAAACCCTTCAGTCTGAATCATCACATAAAAATCTATCTCTAAAGTTCGGAATTAAGGAAAACACTGCAGAAGAAATTACCGATAGTCAAATTCATGGTAACGGTAATGTTGCCGTAGAACTGCCACCTACTACCACCAGGAGACACGGTAATAGGTGCAGTACTCAGAGAGCAACAGTCCAGGCTACTAATGCGCAGCCAATGAGCCTGGATATGAGCCCGATAAAACAGAAGGCACCACCACTCAAACATCGTGAACAACCGACTATTGCACCAAGTGAACAAGAACTAAGTAGGCTCACCGATGGGCGACATATAGAACGTAATATTTTGGATGAGGTTGGTGTACAGAAGTCGTATTTCTGTATAATAATATTATATATATATATATATATATATATATATATATATATGTTGATATAGTATAATAACATAATACGATAACACATATTAGAGTTCAAGACACTGCTGAACGATGGAACCATGGCGAGTAGTAGGTTAATGTAACTAATTGAATGTATATGTATTCATCAAAGGATTATATTGTAGACTGTAAATATACAAAAATTCTGAGTCTGTCTACAATCTAACAAAGCGTGAACAATATTTTAGAAGGATTCCTTGGACTCGGTGGACTTCACTTCTTGTGAACAGCGTGTCAAACAGCACAAGATACCAGGCGAACCTGTAGAAAAAGCAGCTAAGGTGCCATCTGATGGAGAGGTTAGTTTGATTTGGAATTATCATGGCTTATTCTGAATGAATGGGTCATGACTTCACTGCATTTGTAATCAATCGGTTCGGTGCTGCTTGTTCTCGAGAAATGCTTCTTTCTCGGAGTCGAGTTGGCATAGAGCAACATGGGTAACTGTTCAGCTATGCAGTTTACTGAAGGCCAAGCTATCTCCGCCCTGAACATTAACCTTGGTGATATACACTTACGAGTTTATTTTTTTAAACAAATCTGTTACACAGCGGCTTCCAAGCAACTCGAATAGTTTTGATTGTTCATTGCAGAAACATTAGTAGGTCCTTGTTGTTTCGAGATTGGAGTAAGGTACATTATACAAATATGGAACCTAAAGTCATCTACTTCAGAAGATCAACTATGAGAGGCATTTTTTAATTAAAATTGCTGTCATCTCTTATTACTAACGATTGTAGATCGTATTTAAGTTGTAGCTTGAAAAATAATTTACGTTTATAGTTAATATACAATTAAAATATTCAGCATTATTGTTTTTGCTTCTTCCGGTTGTATAAGGTTGTCACGGAATTTTACTGGCAACTAACCTGTGGAGTCATTAAAAAACGCCTGAATACTACAGGTTCGAGCGTATTAATTAATGTGAGAGTCCTCTGTGATAAAAAAAGCGTTGGCAGAAATTCTGCTTAGTTGGCATGCACTTGTGACGTATTCTTGCCTACTGTTTATTCATACTTGCTGCGCACATGTAGGCTAAATCGGGCTAATAATGAGCAATCTGGAAAATTATTTCCCTTCGTATTTTGCTCCTAGCATATTGGTATATACGCCTAGAGATAGATACCTTAAACAGGCGTCATGAAATGAGTCGAGAAAAATCATATCGCACGCGAATCTAGCTCTACATTTTGATTTTGCGGTAATGTAAATAAGATTAATTAATAATCATAATACAAATAGTGTCTAACGTAACAACGAAATGTCTGTTTTGTAATATATATGTATTTGCTAAGCAGAAATTCAGCACATTATTGAGTGCAGTAAAGGGTATAATACCAGTAATTTCTAGTAGCTAGCTTTTTCGATTGGAACCATAATAGATCGTATTTTATTCATTGATTTGCACATTATTTGTGACGGTTAGTCGCAAGCATCTATACTACACTCAGAAAAAATGTTCGGGCTAAATAAAGGCTGCGATCGAGGTCGCAGAATCGTTCGCTAGAGTAACCTGTAACTTAGAATCTAAGACAGCACCAGCTTTAGCTTCGCGTAATGGAACATGTGGACCGCGACAGTCATCGTATTTGTGAGATTATTTATCAAGCTAGTTAGCTATGATGCTTAGACAGATTCCTGTAGGCATACTTTCTAACACGACTGTTTAAATGTCGAACTAAACGTAACTGTGGCACATGCTTGAGGGCTACGTCCCGCCTTATATGTATGTTTTTTTCATTAGAAAGACGCACTCGAGTCAATGTGTCGTAGTAGTGAAGGAAGCATACCCGAGACTTTGCCTCTAATAGTATCACCGACAAGTATATCGGCGAAAAAATCGCCTGCCGGATCAATCAGAGTGACGAATCGTACTGAAGAGCTGGCTAGCAATAGAATGAGCATTGAAGATAGCCAGTTTGTGTTGCCTATCAAAAAGGCTCTTGACTTGAGCGACGAGGAAGCCGATGATTTCATGGCAAATATCGACACTCAAATGGTAGCAACAAAACGGAAAAAGCTGACTCCTCACGGGGACCATAAGGTAATTAAAAATATTTCGTAGTATTGTGAATATCTTGGGAATTCTTTTTTTTTTTTACCAAAGTATTATGTTATTATAAGGTCACGCTGCTATATGAACGTAGATTTTAAACAATTTTTATTCAATTCTACCTAATAGCTTGATAAACGAGCACAGCAGTTTTCGTGTGTTGAACAGAGTTCAGAATGTTCGATACGAAGTCAAAAAGGCCGGCGGCGTGTTGCAAATCTCGTGATGAGTAGCGATGAGGAAGGGTCTGCAAATGACGATTTTGCAGTTCCCGCTGAACAAAAAGCGGCGTACGAAAAAGCTTCTACTAGACAGTCAAACACAGTGGTGACGAGAAATACCGCTGATTATGATGATGATGAAGAGGACGAACCAATTGCACCGCTGGACACGGAGGATATGAAGAATCTTGAAAGGTACGCTTTTCAAAAATAATCGTCCAACAAATTAAAAAAAAATGCATTATATTATAAAATTTCGATATCACATACAAAATTCACTACAACTGAAATACATCTGCCAACTTCGGGTGTGTATTTTTAATGAATGATTTTGCAGGGAAATTGAAAATTTGGACCGCGAGATGGAAGATAGCAAAAACACGGCTACGTTCCAAAAATCTCGTTAATGGAAATGCGGCAACTAGTCTATGCTATAATTTCTCTCCGGTTTATATCTGAATAATTAGATGCTGTTTTTGCCTTGTACATACCTCAGTTAAATTTAAAGCACAGTATTTTCCATAACATATTTGTTGTCAATATATCGCTATTTCGCTCGCTGATAAAGAAAACCCATGAATAATTTCGAAGTAGAGTAGCTGCTGGACATAATAAAATAGCGTGAAAAAGACCGCTAACAAAATTTTGATCAGTAGCCGTTAGGTTTGGATAACGACTGCACGTTTTGTAGTTTCAAAAAACAAATATAAATTTATTAATAAATATTTTAAAAAAAAACGCGTATTCTCATCTCCAGTTATCTAGATATCGGATCCTTCCTAGAAGAATGATTAACTGTCAACTTACGGCGGACAGTTTGGCTTAATTCGGTTTTGTTCTAAAACTCCTGATCTGTTTTTCGTAACCAAAAAAGAAACTTTAATAACATGTTGTATATTTAAAAAAAGTAGATTAAAACATTCGCTGCGTGGGAACTAGGTATACTGTGACATACTATTATATTTATATTATTAGCCTTATATTATAATAAACATACTGTAGTTCCAAGTTCCGCCATTTACCTATGTGCTCCTCAGAAATAAATCAGTTCTGATCAAACTTTTCATTTTTTTGGGCCATAAAAACCTCATTTTGAATTTCGATAAAATCTGTTTGTGTATGGGATGCAATAAAATGCACCACAATACATTTCATCGCAAAGACTGAAAAGTTTCATCATACCTACAGCTATGCTCTTTTTGGCAAATCGTTTTTATTTAGGAAAATTGAAGGCACACCAAATAAAGTTTGCAGAGTTTATTATTTCTAGCGCAGTTTGCTTATAGAATCTTTACTGCTAATCAAATGAAATGTTTCTGAGAAAAAAAAATTATTTATGTCAATTAACGAGCACAGAAAGGTTGTGATGGGCTCCATCCAGCACATTTCAAGATGATACTTTTAAGCAAGCTTTCTTACTAAGCGTTTGAAAAAAAAAACACAAGTTCTTGCAACGAGATCTCTGCTAACAGAACATGACCCAAACTTAGCGACAGGTTTACTGTAATTATCCATACAAATTGTTTTCTCGGAATATTACTAAACAGTTATTCTCATTATGAAGTACTACTTTATTGTTTTTCACAATTAGCATTTCGAATTTCTGCCGCAGCCCGTATTTTTGTAAATACAGACAGCTAGTGTGTCCCACAGAGGGCTATTTGCAAATTTTGAGAAGCTCCGCTAAAAACCTCTGCCCATCGTTTAGGCAACGTTGAGTTTTCACCAGTCAAAACCAGTTAAGGACAGTTGTAGAGCTAGCAACTGTTGTCCTGTAAGAAAATTCGATCACAAAGAACCTCAGGGATGTTCCTTCGCAGAAGATCAGTTGGCAGCAAGTTTTGTTTTGTTAATTACATTCAGTGCCAGCCTATCACAGTTTTCTGTCACCTCTGCTCATCTCATACAGTGCTCTTTGAACAATAAGCTAGTTTTAGTGATAATAAAGATTTGTACTTCATAAAGATATGAGTGACCATCAGCTGTTTTTCTCTTATATGCGTTGCGTCTTGACAAACTGACGATTGGTGCCTAAAAGGTCATCCCGTGATCAAACCATCCGCCGCCGCCGCTGCTACGCCAAAGCCTACTGCCGACTCTTCAATATTCTAATACAAAGCGTAGCTACTTGTTATGATGGTATACCCATAGGAGCTAGAATGCAGCAGCTAGTTACCAGCATAGAATCGCTTAGTGTTCTAGTTAACTAGTGTCTACGGCGACTGTGTAGATTCAAATTGCGACGTTGACCAGCAATAGTCCCATCATTGCCGCTGCTGTAACACAGATGGAATCGTGAGACCTGGCTGCGTCGCGTGTTTGCTTTACTCGAGGAAGATGTTAACATGATGGACGGTCTTGAAGCAGCTGTCGTTGTGTAAGTAGGCTCCGCCATGAACTCTACATAGCTCGCTGGAAGGTTGGCAAATCTGGGGCTAAAGCCGGAATAACGCTCCGAGTTTCATTCGTGCGGGCGACCGAGCTACAACCGACGATCCGTCGGATGAGCGCCCTATCACTTCAACGTCGTCTCGTCTATTTACAGCCGCGTAGTGTGTTGTATGTCGCGGCGGGAGGGGGGACGGTTAGATGGTTCGTTCGGTTTGATTTTGCCCATCTTGCTCGCTGCTTGGCCCGTGTGCTGTGTACTGTTATTTAGAATATTTGTTTGGTTAAATGTTAGCGCTGTTCGAAATGTCCGCGACCATGTTCTATACTTGCGTGGTCGATTTCCTTTTCTAAGATACGCTTATCGCCCTTCGTGATCTCGTCGGTCCTAAACGGGCTTGCCTTGGCTGACAGTATCCGACGGCTCGCTTCGTTCCGTGTTGGTGCTTGATTTGTGTGAACGTTCTGTTATTATTGTTATTAATGTGCCCTTATAGAGAGATATGAAATGATGCCATAGAGTGAAAATGTAGTCGAGCAGCGTACTGCTTAAGCGCGTTTTAGTGCTTTCGATGAAGTTCTAATCGTTCAGTTCAACCTCACTGCTGCAGCCTACATCGTCGTAATGTATCATCGATACCATGTTGTTGTTGAAGTTATACCAAACCGTGATCCGTCTCATAGCTACTCCGTGCAGATGGAAAACACTTCCGCAGCTGCAACGACTGGTGGCTTCTCTTCGCTCAGTTCTACTAATACCTCATTTGCTCCTAGAAGAGTTCCCTAAGCTTGCGCACCCCTTTTACAGTGGGGATTTTAATTGTTGTACGTTGCGATTGTTAGTTTTGGCTGTGAGTTTTACTGATGTGGTAGCCGTAATGACAACGATATTCACCCACTGAACCAATACGAGACCTTTTCTAACTCGAATTCTGTGGCGCCACTGACATTGTTGTTCTAACTGTATCTATACCTGCACGCCCATCTGTCCGCCCCCCGTCACGTTACGACTGTGACGAACGCTCAACGCACTAAAATAATTCAGTACATTATCGCTCCACCACCCTGTGTCGTTAAGACATCGACTGGATCAGCTGAGTCAACAGAATCACCTGCGAAGGCTGGGGTTATCGCGATCAGTCGACATTAGTGTAATAATAGGGGGCAAAAGAATTTACCAGAGTTGGTCGTGTTGTTACACAAGTAAATTGAGTGTATCCTCAGTGCACCCCTGCCGCTGACAGAGTAAAAGCGTGATTTGGTGTGGTTTCAGCTAATGTGTTGCTGCGATCAGGCCGGCCAAGCACGCAGGCTTCCCGAATCCTACGAAAGCCCTCGTTAGACGCGCTAACAGTAGTTCGAGTGGAAAACCGATGGAGTAGCCTTCCCTGCTGCTAGAGACAAGAAAGAAGTTGACCGAGAGGAAAGCAAAATACGAAATGAGAGCTTAACTTAAGCTTGTTCCGCGATATAGCGCCGGTTGTCAACAACTATTGTAATGTGGCTGGTAGTAGCTTGACACTGCGGGGTAGTCGGTCCGGAGTCCCATGATTCCATCAAGGGGGTAGTCCTGGAGATTTCAAAGAAGGAGACGGTGAAGGAGATCCGACAACCGCTCATCGTTTATTGATACGATTACTATCGTCACCAACTGAGGGTGAATGGAGACTCTAACGGGCATGGTGAGCGGGGCTGCCCAGGCGACGAATGGCAATACGAAGGTGATGCACGGCGGAGTGCCCCAAGGTGCAGCCTCGGTGATTGCTCAGTTTGACATTGCACATGCCAACAATTTGCTTGACGATGTCGTCGTCTCCCACGACTCCCCACTCGCAGACAGCCAAAACACCAGTAACAATAATAATTCGAACAATCACGATAACAACAACTCGATCAGCCAGGATAAGTAAGTTGATAGAACAGGGAAAAAGAGAGACAAAGAAGTAACAAAGTTCTCAGGTTTCTGTATATGTCTCTCCTGATTAAGGTTCCAAATAACTAGGTACCAATGTATATTTGTATATAGAGAAATATAGACGCGTCCACATTGTCTATGTGTGTTCTATCGTTGTTAAATCTGATGGAGAGGAAAAGATGAACATTCGTCTTAGGGCTAGTCTTCCTATATTACAATAATAGGTCTATCTAATCCACTACGGTGTTGCAGAAAAATATTTTTGTGCAAATGATGACCGCAAACGTTTTAAATTGATCTATATATTTGCATAGATACATATTTATGAACGTTGGATGCGTGACCGACATATTGTTGATTTATGAGCGTCCATCAAAAAAATTAACTCGAAATGATGCGGGTGACAGTAATGTCAAAAGCACCTATATTGGTAGGTCGAAGTAATATGTAAATATATGTTCGATGCATAACCAAATAGATTCAAATAAACTCAATCAAATAGTTTCCACATTAAAACGACGTATTGTTAAGCGGTTTTTAACTTATGAAAGTGACATTTTACTTTACTCTGGTTCCAAGCATGACAATAACTAAATCGGCAAATATTTTCGAAGTCTTGACAAACGGTCTGATATAGTTCCAAGCATCAGTATTTTGTGGTACCGTTTTTGCAGCGATAACTGCCGCTAGTTTTTGGGGTATGCTTGTGATGCTGTCTTAACTATAAAGGGATCCTGTTGTCACACATGAGTGATTTTTTACCGATATCTGGAATATCTGTTATTTCATGCCCTTTCCAAGCGCATGGTTTCACGATTTTCTGAGCATTACCTATTGAGGTGAGACCACGGCAGCACCCGAACGACCTGGAGGTACTCGGTGCTTTGTAACAAGGTGTTCCATCGCGCGTGAAGGCATCGTCACTGTCAGGAAACCATTCCCAGACCCGAGGCGGCATCTTGCTCTCGATAACCTTAGCATATTCCCACTGCTCTAGTATTCCTTGCGCGAAATATATTATTCCGGTGCGTTTGCCAGAACTCATAAATCGCATTATACTTTTATTGAATGTTAGATTTCTAGCACGACGCAGTCATCAAGTCGTTTGAATAAATGATGGGCGTTTCTTCAACAATTTCAAAATGAGATTCATCGAAGATATAGACTTTTTCAGTTTTCAATAATTCAATTTCTACTTAGTTTGTTTAATGAAGGCGAGCTGGTTTCACTTTATCTTTCGACCGAAGTTTCTTGGTAGCTCCACTAACCTTGAAGCCAGCCCACTTGAGTCGGCGGCAAAGCGTCATTTTTGACACAGTGGGTTCACGCTCTTCTAATTTGCTCTGGAGGACATTATACAAGATAAATTTATCCTTTTTAAGCTCGTAAATAATCACACGGTTCACCTTTTTAATTAATTTTTTAGGTTTTTCTTAGATTCTAACAAAGTTGCTAAATGAATGTTAAAAAATATGGAAAGTTTCCGCAGTTTCACATTGTGCACGTTTGTTTCAACCAAGCAATCTGCTCATCAGTGACATCTCTTCCTCTTCCCATTTCGATATATGTACGGAAACACCCAATATCACCAGAAAACACTCCAACCGGTCAAGCTCACTTAAACACCACGACCTAGTGCTTCAGTGGGGGCAACAGTCGTGTCAGGCGGTGAGAAAGAAGGCACCGGTTATAGACTGTGCACTAACTACTAGTAGAACTAACACAAAATATGAATGCTGAATTTGCTGAAATCTGATTACAGCAAGCTGTCACGCCTACGATCTCTAAAATACGATACGGCAGTTTTAAATATCGCATCGTCTATCAACAGTTTGAAAATGTTCGTTGATGTCTTTACAGACAAGTAGAATACCAGTGCAAAGTAATCCTGCTTTTATAAATCGAAAACTCCTCGAACATATCCCGCATTGGCGCTGAACGATGGCCTTGAAAGATGAAACTATTTGATTCACTTTATTTGAGTCTATTTTATAGAGCACCAATAGCATATTATATATATATATATATATATATATATATATATATACATTGAATATTTCGAGAAAGAACCGTTATCGATAGAAGCTAAAAAAGCATAGCTTCATGGTTAACTAATATAATAGAAAATAAGTTTGAGGCAACTTTTTTTAAATAAACTATCGGTATAAAATAATATGTTGACGTCTTGCTTTAATTTAGAAAAATCATCTTAAAGATTATTCAGGTGTTGTTAAAAGCTATAGACCTGATTTGACTAATCACCCTTTCCGAGAAATTCGCTAGTACCCAAAGAAATCACATCATTAAAGAGTTGATACGGAAAATTCACCGATATATTCAATACCATCTTCTACGTTGGGCTATTTCGCACAACCAGGGATTTATTCACAAATATATATCGATTTGTATACTCAAGGAAACCTAGTGCGACCAGTGCAATGCTTCATTTGGAATTACTTCATGTTGCGAGAAAATCTAGATATGTCGCATTTTCTGAGAATATTTTACATTTGCAGTTACATGCGTTTGTAACAAAAGCACCAATAATATTTCAGCTCAAAAGACTTACGACGACGGAGGCGCGCGCCCACAACGGAGCGGAACGTAGGCGAACACGAGTGTGAGGTGTGTCACAAAAGGTTCCGACAGATCGGCCATCTGACCAACCACCTGCGACTACACACAGGTAAATTTTTTCATCAATTTTACAAAAGATATTTTAAAAGTACAAATTATTAGGAAACACTCAAACTGTGTGAATTATTTTTATTCTAGATTTTCAGCGCGTTCGTCTTATTTTTATCTACTACTGTTCGAATTATATAAGAAGAGAAATATTATGTTGGTGTTGTTATACATGAGATTATATATCGAAGGCTTTTTTCATATTTTTGGAGCTACTGTTTGCACCGGCAGGTCTAACTAATATGCAGTAGTTTACCTATTTTTTTAAAGATATAGCTTTCGCTCTAAAAAACTATACCTGTAATTATACCGACATTTTATTTTTCATTCGTCGAATTAGGATTATCTCGAGAATAATTTTCTCAAAAGCATGCCCGTCCTGTCTTATACACTGAGATAGTTCTTAAAGCGCTCGTTTTTAACAAGATTATTTCTAATTTGAATTGAATAGTTTATATATGAATAGTACCATAGCAGCGATAATAGAAAGGCAGCAGCAGCAATAACAGAAAGATTTGTACTGAATTGCAGGCGAGCGCCCGTTTGAATGCAACATTTGCCACAAACGATTTACGCAAGCCGGTCACTTGGTATCTCATATCCGGTCACACACGAATTCGCGTCCATATCAATGTCAGTATTGCCACAAAAGGTTTACACAGAGTGGACACCTCACAAATCACGAACGCCTCCATGTCGGTAAGTCTATAACTAACCTGTGGTTGCGATGTGCATTCGTAAAAAATTATTGACGGAACCTACTAACTACCGTTTTACTTTAAGTCTTAAATATAAATAAATAAGCTTAAAATACAGTCCAAAGCTTCTACAAAGTATTGTATTTGTATTATATATTTTCTGTTATTTATATTTGGATGTATTGAAGATTAAACTTATAATCAGTGACTAGCTTGTCGTTAAAAATGTTATTGGAAGCATTTTTTTGCATTTGTGATTATCTTCTCACTGTTAATTGTTTTTTTTTCATATCATATTCTCTTTATTTTTGTGCTGTGGCAACCCTGTGGCTATTCCAACTCCGATAACAGGAGAAAAGCCGTATCAGTGCAAAGTTTGTTTCAAAAACTTCACGCAATCGGGTCATTTAGTGAACCACATGAGATTACACGACGGCAAAAAACCATTCCAGTGCCCAATTTGCCACAAGAAGTTCACCCAATCCGGGCACCTGCACAACCACGTTAAGTTACATGAGGGCGGCAAGACACATCAGTGCGAGTTCTGCAACAAGAAATTTTCGCAGGTAGGCGTTCAATACACAAACGTATCTAATCAATGTACTCCAGACGAATTGCCTTTGAGACGTAGACATAAAGAATCTGGGAGAATTATGTCGGCATGTTTAAGATTCGTCGTACGTCGATTAATTAACGATTTTACAACAACATTTGGTGCTCAAACTTTCTTTGCTTACCATACTGAGTTTTTATTCGTATCTAGCTACTACATCCAGCTCAATCAGAAGAGATAAAAGACTGCGTGAACAAACTACTTTATTTAATATCTATTAAAATCTGTAAACAAATTTTACCTTTGGCTATATGGCGGTAATAAACAGCAGAACTATAGAAGAAATATAGAACAATATAGAAGATACTCAAGGGATGCGTTATCCCTTAACGTGTAAGAGGCATTTGCCTTAATTTGTAAGAGGCAAACTCTTTTAACATAGCATTTATACCCAGTACACTATGGTGTCGCTCTCAATTAATAGGAATAGAAACAAGCATCGTTTCATGTTACTTGTTTCCTTTCATCCAGGCGGGTCATCTAGTTGACCACATTCGGACGCATACGAACGAGCGACCATTCGAATGTTCGGTTTGCGGCAAAGCTTTCGCGCAAAACTCTCATCTAACTGCTCACATGCGGACCCACCGAAATATTGTTCTTGATCCTCCGGTCTCATCAGCCCTGTCAGCATTAGCTGCTGCACCCGTAATGGCCGCGGCCATGGCACCGCCTCCACCGCCCCCGCCAACGCATCCAATGGGTTCGTCAATGGCGTCAATTGCCAGCGTGGCCGGACTTGGTCCCGTTGGTGGTTCTTGCCCGCCGGTTTCGACAATGGGTCCCATGAACACTATGAGCGGAGCTCCCGCCCCAATGTACCCCCCAGCAAGTGCACCTCATTTATTACAGTTGACGACAGCAACAGCAGCAGCTATGGCGGCTCTACAAGCAGCTCGCCCATTGATTGTACGCGTGAAGCGAGATGAGGCAAATGCAGGAAACGACTCGTCATCATACGGAGTTACTAATGCTATGGCAATGGCCATGGGCGTCGGATCGTTGCACGGAACTGACAATGATGTCTTGACGGAAGTTGACATCGAAGACGAAACACAACCCGGGGAGGTCGCCGAAGATATGGTAAGTAGACTACAACGAGGAGACAAGCAGATGCCTCATACACCAGTAAACGGGAGAACTGAAAGGAAATCTTATACAAAAGCAAAGAAAACACATGTTGGACACCTTGTGACGCGCTATCGTATTATTGTAAAGTCATTTTGATGTCAGTATTGGCTACCTAATATTGATGACATGTAATTTCATACAAAAAGATAACGGTAGTTTAGAAAAAGAAAAGGTAAAGGTAAACGCTATTTATCTTTGATAATATTTTACCTAACTTATAACAGCACCACAAACGTTTGTCACTTAGGTTTTGTGTTTGGGGTGATTGAGCCATATTGTTGTCCTGATTATACTCTTTTTGAAACTAATAGGCATCAGTTCTTGTATTTTGACTAATATTGGACTCCACTATTGTATTTCCAAGCGGTTGGTGCAGCCTTCAACGTCAACTGCAGGAGCGGAGGCAAGGATCAAAACGGAGCCGGTTTCTTCAGCAACAGCAACAGCAGCCGTTGGAGCGTCTCGATCTGTATCACTCGGGGGTCCCACGGGAGGTGGGAGCGGAGCTGCTGGCGCAGGACCTGGTGGCAGCGCTGGAGGTCCCGGTAGTTGCCTTGAGGAGAACAACTCAAAATTCGAGATTGGCGAAGATGTGGCTTTTGTAGCCTCCGTTATGCAGCACGCACAGGAGGTCGCCAGTCTCGGAGAGCTCGGCAAGGCCACTGATCCGTAAGTATTGCTATCTTACCTTGAGTTAATAATTAGCGAGCTACGTTGTTGCCAGTTTCTGTGGCTTTGGAAAATCCATTAAGGCAAAACGAATACTCCAGAATAAGAGTTAAATTAGAGGCTTTCAGAATTAGTTTAAGTGGCGTAAAAAACTTTGATCAATGGTCTTTTGGCCAGCTATCAGGACGAAGTTTTAGTACGCTTGATCCTTTGTGTGACATGTTTGAACGATATTTTAAGAAATCTACACGCCGATATCGTTTTACTTATAATTAAAAGAGTATCTGTGAATTTTTGACTGTGAATTGTCAGCGGTTTACGGTCCCGAATCGTAGCCATTTTCAAAAATCATCTTATTTACAGATAATACAACCGTATCCGTCAAGAACGTACCCCTCGGCATGTATAAGTCATATTATCTAAAAAATAACTTACACCATTCCATTTCATGTAATGCCGACTTTGTATGTCTAAATATATAGTAGGTTTTCACAGAATCTCTTGTCGTTTTGTGCCATTTTTGATATCATTTAGGGTGCGGCTCTTTTCTATTCAGACCATGATTGATGGTGAGGAGATTGGTGCGCGTGATGGATGAAACTAGGAATTCAACATTACGATGCTGTTGTTATTGAACGATCGTGTTCCACGAACGTCACTATGGTTTTCGTTATCGTCAAAAAAAATGTTGACATTATTGCTTGACTTATTAGAGCATTGCTTCTTAAAATGTACACTATTGTAGCGATCACTGGTCATTTGTCGAGGACAAAAAACGAGTGCTTTTTCGAACATTAGAAGCCGCAAAATGCCAGGTAGCAACAGGCCAGCATTTACGATTGAAAGGAGCGGATCAGGACACACATAATTAGCAACGGTCGGATTGACGAGAACTTATTAAATCTAAGAATCCTTCCAAGTTGTTCAACTTCGAAAATGGAACGGCACAGCACACTACGATAGAGGACCAGATGAGCGCCCCTTTGGCCACTCTTTTATCATACCACAATCCTGCCTCAAAAAATAATGACCCGGCAATAAACTGCAAACAGACTAGCAGTAAAAAAAGCGAAAAACTTGTTCATATAGATCTCCGGTGTGGCCACGCCGCAACATACAACTAACAACACAACACCATTACCACAAGAGCACGTGTCAAAAAACGTGTAAAAAAGGAGAGAGTGGGGATAGGGATAAAACCTTGTGCAAATGTACTTTAACTATTAATATGTACTTTATTATGAAATAGTAATAAAAGGATTGTTGATTCTGTAAATAAATAAACGGTTTTGTATACAATCTTGAACAATTTACCCAGATGGCGTGAGGTTCTCATTTATTAGCATTAGTTAACCAAACTGATATGTATGAGACAAGAGTCACTTGACAGATATATATTATGCAGATGTAAAATGAAAATTAGACTATCGAAAGGCTGTTGCCTCACTCATATATATATATATATATATATATATATATATATATATATTAGCTAATAGATAATCTAATAAATTGAATATATCATGGTGACCTTGGAAGCATGTACGAGAGACCATTTATCCTGAAGTGAAATCGAAAACCTGACCTCGTGGCTCTTAATGCGAGGCCCTAGCCACAGATTCGGGCTCTCTGCTATTGAGAGAACTAACCGGGCATTATAACGCATTTTATAACCTTGTTTATCACTATCAAAAATAGCAATCGCAGGAAATAAATGGAACAAATTAAATTTACTCTTAGGCGAAATCTCCGAAGTATTGATTAACTACAATTAGCAATTACTCACCAGCAACGGCGGCAAAAGCTCACGAATTGGAGCATTTTTCTAAAGGTATACATAAAATTAATTTCGAGGTAAGAAAGACGAAAACAGTCATAACTCTACACACGTCTAGACAGCGAATTTAATTTTAAGATTGCCGCAATAGCTACTTATATAGATAGAACGATAGGCAAGACCGCTCGACATTATATTTATCTTATGATTTGATGACTGGATTTAGCAACATCAGCATCAACTAGTTATTTCTTGATGTTACCTCCGAAGGACGATACTATTGCTGTTAATCCACGACTCCCTTATAGTTGTATGTGAATAAATACTATCTTATAATTCTTATAATACATATCTACAAGAAAGGAAAACAAATTATCATCACGGCTACTGAAAATCTTTATACAATAGGCTCTTATTACAAGCAATTCCTTAAAGTCACTAAATTCTTTACTTCATATATTTTCGACTCTGTTGTATATTTCAGCTGATGAGGCTGAAAGAAGCTTCGTAAGATATCGTTTTCGACAACGAACATTTTGATGTTTACTTCTTTTTGAGAAGCTGGTGGCGTACGTTAAGGAAAGGAATCGCGGCAGCGCTTCCGAAGAAGAGAACCATTTTCAGCGTTAGCGCGTATGGGTTCTTGATTGAAAATGGCAGATTCTGTAAATATGAGAACAATGAAACCGATTACATGAGTTTATTCTTTTGCAATCATTGGTAATAACAATACTTGCTTAGTATAGAAGTATCAAGAAACAGGAGCGCATTCTAATAATGCCAGCGAAACAACGGACTTTGTATACAATTCGATTACCATTTATAATCTTTAATTTGTATACATTGCATACACTGGCGATGTGGAACGTTAGTATTTTGGCCGAATCATGAACTACATTCTCTATTTGGTTATAGTGAGGAGTAAAAGTCATGCAGGTAAATAAATGGATTTGTATACATTTCAAACGTATTATCCCTGTCGAAATGTTTAGAAAAATAATAATTACTATAACTGTTGCAATAATAAACCATATTTGGGCTAGCCAGCCGCTAAGCGGTTTGATTTAGTCTTTCAAGCTTTGTATTCGTGTTTCTTCATTCTGGTTAGATGCATAAATAAATTTGTGTAAACGAATTCATTATTTGTTGGTCTATTTAACTCCTAATAACTACTACCTGATACAACGTTCAGTGCGACCCGAAAAGGCTTACTCTATATATAGGAATAGCTCTAATTGAGTGAATCTTTAAACTCACAAACTAATTCAATAAAAGCAAAAAAACGTATGCGACGTACATCTCCGGGGAGGCCACCGTAATCATCATGATGTCCTCCTTGACGGACAGTTGATGTCGTGAAACTCCGTGCGCTCTGAAAGCTCTGACGGAGCCGATGGACAAGCATCTTTAGGATTACAAGAACTCGAACCACTACTGAACTACTGAACACAGAACCGTAGAGATGGGCCTAAAATCACAGAGTCAGCAACTGCACTTTCCGCCGAAGGTTAAGTCGGGCACTCCGCTTACAGCCAAAACAATAAACGAGCAGACGACAACAGAAGGATACAAACCGTAGCGGTAGTAGCAGACGCCCTCCAAATACTCCCGGAAGTATATGGAGGGCGTCTGTCAGGGTGAAATCGCGGCTTTTTTCAACATAAAACGCCCAATTAGCTGTATCGTAGCCAAATGTATGACCTAGAAAAGGTTCTAGTTTTGATATAACAAGTGGTCGTTTATTGTCTTCCCTTCGTGCCATTTAAAAAAATTTGGCCATTTCCAGGTGCCCGCCATTCGACCGGCGTTTGTTTGGCGGCGAACCCAAATATCCTAGGAACCAAATTTGTATTCAGCGTGCGCCGGGTGCTGAAAGCGCCGGGCTACGGCGAGAAGCAACTGGTGTAAATCGTTTTGCCGCCGCACGAGAATCGTGAAAAATGGCATTCGAGCCTAGGGCAGATGTATTTAACGCCAACTACGCACTTCTATGGGAGCCGTTGAAAAGTGTGCAGACAAGGATAGAAGCCGCAATCATTCTTGGACAAGCAAACGCGTTGGAAGAATTGCCGCAGCTTGTGCCAGCAGAGCGCGCCAAGTTTCTTTCAGTGCTCACTCAACCTCCATGCAATCATGACCACAGAGAGCATATAAGGCAGCATGCTACAAGTACCGGAATCAGGACAACAGCAGGTGGAAGTAATCCGTATCGTGTTACCGAAGATTTTGTACGGGATACCCTCAAAGTGAGTGACGCACTGCAACTTGACGAATTTCGAGGTACGTATAATGGGCGATTACAGTAACAATTACTAGAGGGCGGCGAATTATTTTTTCGCGAAACGTGATTCTTAGACGAGTAGAACTATAGTAGAACAATTTGTTAATAATTTCTGTTTTGAGTATATATTTAGGTTAATAGGATTTTGTCGAAACTTTTAGAAGCAGCGGCAGCAGCTTTTTGAAATATTGTCCATACAAACTAAATATCATTAGAAACTTTTGACATAAGCAAAGAACAAGATAATTATTGCGTAAAGCTAAATGCTTGAAAATAAGAAATTTATTAATCATATTCTACAAAGGAGTAGAAGAATTAGAATCGAGTGGATTACAAGACAGTGTCAGTAATATATTCAAACCAGCTTGGAGGCATTATTAAGTGTGTTATTAAATCGTATGCAGAGAGTACGTGAGGGCGTGCTCGTTGCGACTGAGTTGGTTTAGAAGGTTTGCGACGGATGATTTTCAGTATATATTAATTGGTTCATTGTATACAAAAGATTGACACTCTTAAAGATCTAAAACGAGTAGATAAGAGTATTGAGGCGCGGCTATTGACCGTAATTGTTTTCTCATATTAGTTGTACTTTCGTCACCAAGTAAATCATTCTTACTCTATATCATACATAACTTTAACTACGGAAGTATATATTGGATAACGCATCGGGTAATGTCGAAAATGGCATCAAAATATTGATTCTAATGTATTGGTAGGCTTCTGATTGCCAAGGGCGTCACTATATCGTGGTCTAGAAAGGGGCTCACAATATTAATTAATTTTCGAAAAAAGGTTATTAAAAATCCTATCGTATTAGCCGGAATAGCCCTACGAGGTGGGCTAGAGGTGAAGTATATGGGCTACTAATCATTTAACAAACTCAGATAGCAAATGCTTACTTTTCGAAAAGACTTTAGAAAAGACGATACTTCTGATTTTTAAGGTCAGGGTTGGTTTGTCATATGTCTACATGAACTGCGCTGTGTAAAGTTCGATTTTGAATGTTAACCGAACGCTGGCATATTTTGTGAATTGCATGAGAGTATTACAGTAACAATGCACACACAGTTTTCCAAAGCCATGTTGAGTATACTGAATTCTGTCTAATTACTGCGGTTATCCATACGAGAGCTTATTTACGAGCAATTACGATATATCATATTTTTTTTGGCAAGTGATTGTATTGTTTATCTTGCCCTATATAGTGGTTCTTCATTTAGCCCACGTAACATGCAATGCGGCTATGTATGATCACCCAATATTTAGTTAGTTCTTTTTTTTCGCAAAACGTGATTTTGAGACAAGTAGAACTGTAGTAGAACAATGTGTTAATAATCTTACGTACCTATAGTTAAACCAAAGTTTGAAAAAATGTCGTTTTAAATAGCTTAATTTTTTGAAGTTTGGTTGAAAAACAAAATTCAATCATTTGAACTGTACCGCCGAATATCTGACCCGTATCCAAAATACTACTTATTTGAGAATATTCATTTTTAAAGCGTTTAAGCGTTTTAAAGTCTTTATCAGAGAAACAACGGTCTTTACAATCTCTTCTTCCACTTAACCCTATTGTTCCCTAATTAATTTCTGAAAAAAATTTAAATGCAAGAACTACAAAACATGTCCCGATTACCCGTTGTAAGTTGTTACCACAGCGTAGATATCGTCGATACGCTTCCTGCTGTCTATGGCCACACTGGATTACGTAATTTTCTTTTCTATAACAAAATCAAGTATTGCATAATAAAAACTTTTCTTGTTGAAACGGTTTAGATTTGATTTACTCGAACACCTGGTAAAGCCAGTCCTATAGGTTTCCACAGGGATCGGTTTTCGATTTACATAACCAACTTGCGGGAACTTCCGGTCGTATAGCAATTTTTGAAAACCTATAAATAATCGATAATAATAATAATAGAGCCAGTGCTCCTTATATGGTAGGTTTAGATTGTGAACAGTTATCAAAAAGAAAACTCATAATCAGTTGGACATAGTATTCCAACAAGAGGTATTTTACGAACTATTGCACAAGCGTTCCCGTATGACAATTTACTTACTTACTTAGAAGAACGACGTTAAAAACTGCAAAAGGCCCAGCTTCATTAAAGGTGTCAGTGAAGTCGTTTTCAGCACTAATACTTTTATTAAATAGATGGGTATAACAAATGTGACCATAAACAAGGGTGAAGTGTTATTTCTTCCTGGTGAAGTGTTATTTCTTCCTAGTTTTAAGCCAAGAAAAACGTTTACAATGAGCGCTTGAATTCGAGACATGCTTACAAGCCTAGGAACGTTCGATGTATTTAAGAGCGGAAAATAACTACTATTGAACAACGCTATTGAGTGTGCAAATTTGACCAACGAAATTTTAACCATTAACTTGGAGCCTTAATAAAGCTGTCACTCAAAACTTGGGAACATTTATTGTTATTATAGTTGTGATATAACAGCTGTTTGTCGAATAGATTTTGGTTAATTGCAGCCGGTAAGCAAAGGTTATTTTAGCTTTATTATGTCGAGTTCGATAGTCTCACCCTGTCTAGGTTGTCCAGTAAAACGAATATTTTGAATCTGCTCAATTCCATGATATCCTGCTCTGTTTAACGTGATTGACTGTAAGTAATCAATCGTAGTACTGCATGAATCTGTCAGCATGCCTTTTACAGCCTTCTGATGAGGAGCTGGAATTAGTATATCTTAAGTGAAACCTAAATTTAGCAGCGATTTAACTGTAACATCATTTTATGCAGCGCCAATCTGTTAGTAGCAGAGAAGCGACATGTTTGTTAACACATTGATGCAGATCTGGCTTGCTGAGACGTCTCGTACTTTAAAGTGACTACTTTTAAAGAAAATGACTTTGAGACTCATTGATCTTGCTTTTATTTTATTCACGTCCTGCCACTTCGGTTCAACAGCGGCCGAACTTGTTCTACGAGCGGATATACAATTGCCAACATTTCCGAACACTCCACGAGCCTGTGTTGCCGTCTGCCTCTTTTACGATGGGCAACAATCACTCGCTTCATCACTCCATCATCTGGTTCGCATCACGAGTGGACGATCCTGGCACAGTATGCTCCCACCTAACCTCGCAGTAAGCAATGATAATTTATTACTCGTGGTTTGAACCCCTGAGCTCATCAAATAAAAGTATTCAGTCATTTCTTTTTTTCACTTTATTTTTCTTCGTTGACACTTACAATTTACTAAGTTGCCAACCAAACAGGACAGATCTTTCCATTCGAAGTCAACAAATGCTCATTTGCAATCCATGTTTGTAAGCCTATTGCTAGAAAATTTTGGCACAGTGTTTTTCAATAATAGAGTTTTCTACTTGCTGATCGGCTTAAGCAACGGCTGTACGCAGTTATGGAAATGTTTAGGCAGAAACAACATGAATATTGTTCTTTATGCACGATTTTCAGGCGAGGTTCAACAATCAAATGATTGATCTTATGGTCCAGCACCAGCTATTTTACCATATAATGGACCGGCTGTCAAATTTTAACGTTGCCGATAAAATTGGCGCCCTTGAAAAAGCTGGCCTCACAAGTGACAATGCTAAGTTCCGGTATTTATTCCGCTTTATTATTTTTTTAATTCCAATAAGCAAAGCGAAACTATGAACGAAGTATACAGAAAGTACAGCTGAGGGCTGATAAATTGCTTAGTAGAAGGTTTGAATTAAGGCGATGCACATCTGCATACTAAACGTGTTCTTGTGTGCATTACTTTACATTTATTTGCAACGCAAATTGCATTGCATGTAAGAGCTAGAAACGTTTTGTTCCATCTGTATGTCTTGTTGTTGTTGTTGCTATTTTCAAGATATTTATAATGTTATGACTCATTTAATTAACGTAAAACGTGTTTTTAAAGCGTGGTTAATATGAATGTGTTTATGCAATTTTTACTTTCTAGACGTATGTTATCGAAGAGTATCTACGAAATCGAGGCCCTTCTCTGTGAAACTGTATTCTACTGGTGTTCGCAACAGCCCGTCTCGGGGGAGCGTGCGACTGAACTGTTAAATTTGATTTCAGCAAAATGCCAAACAACCCGAACTGGCTATCTCAATCGTCCGGGGTTGGTACTTCTAACCGGTTTGCTGAACGTTCTCAGTGCGCATACCTTAACAGAGGCCAATGCCGATCCTATGGCTTGTTGTCTGTTTCGTCATCCGGATATGGCTGATCGGCTTTTTCGTGTGATGGAGGAGCGACAAGAATTTAAGGTAAGTAGAACAAAAAAATAAAAAAGGGGAAACGACGCACTTTGGCATCATGTTCTTGCCTTACGTGATGCTAGTGTAATACGCTTTTCACTTAGAAATTGCATTGGAAGAATGCCGTGGTGCTCTTGTCGCAAGTTCTTTAATGGTTTCTTTTTAGCGGTAGATCTGAGTGGCTGATGCATTAAAGTTGGGACTCTGAGTTGGTGTATTCGCACTCAGATCTTTAGGTCAGGTTGCCTGTGTTGGCCTATGCGACGTATTAAGCTAACTATTGTTTCAACCTGCTTATAGTTTCAAATTCTTTTGGTGACCCTACAAACAGATCCGATAGTACTAAACAGCAGTAAAGATGCCTAAACATTTTTAGATATGGGACCTATAACGGCGGTAAACAAAGGTATTGCTTTGTTAACTGAATTGGCTGGATCGAAAATGCTCGAAGTCGTAGAATAGTAGCCATTGTTCATTGGATGGAAACCCTAATAAAAAAAAAATCTGTTGTGTTATTCCAATTCAACAGACTCCTGCTGTGAAGCCTATAGTTAAACTGGCCATAAGAACTGCTCTCCATGGCATTGAAGTGGCATACACCCATAATGGTGAGATTCCGGCACAAATTCAACAATTGCTACCAGATAATTCGAAAGAGCTTGATACGATTATAAAAGACAAGGTAAGTCGTTTTAGCTTTAAATTCAATTTGCTTAATCGTTTATGTTGCTGTTTTTGATGAGGCTTTTTAACTAATTTTCATATATTTGTAGATAATTCGCTATAAGGCGGTCGTTTATAAATGAACATACCGACTGATAATCTGAAGTAGTTTTTGCATCTCTATCAATTTGAATTACTGAAGAAGAGTGCTAACTAAAACTGCGCCCTTAAGAGTTTACATTCGTTAGCGCAGCTTTTGTAGCCAAGGGGCTTTGAAATGATGACCTTCGAATGTTGATAAAGAAGCACTTGTCAACGACTGCTGTTTCGTATTGTCGCTTGACCCCACCCCTCTCATTTTTGCCTCATTGCAGGTATTCCGTCACATGGTTGAGCTTATCGGGCCTCCACAGTGTACAGTTCATACGGACCTATTTTTCATGAGCGCTTGGCATAACCTTATAACTGATATCATCGTTAAACAGCAGCCCAGAATGCGGTTTCTTCGGATGCAGGGTGAACACAATGGCCGTCTCTCTGTTATGTATCAAAATGAGCACGGTGTGAATCCACCTGAGGGTGACGAAAGCTTTCAGCATTTACTGGAATTTTTGTCATTGCTCTATCTCGATTCGGACGGTATGCGCACAGCTACCTTCGCCACCCCTCTGATAGAAGAATTCTGGTCGCAGGAAACGACCGCTAACACCCATGGCCGTCCCACTCCCCGACTCATTGCTCTGTACAACTTTGCCATTCTTCAACGAGAGTTCACCGGTGCTATGCCAGGCAACCTGTACATACCATACTGTCAAATGTTGGCAACAATTTGCCAAAGTCACAAAGCGGCTTCTGTTTGTTATAACGTCTTACGCAACCAGCAAGGCCCGGCTACAGTGACGTTCGACCACATCTTCAACATGCTCCACATAATCCATCAGAAACTTCGTACCGACGATGTGTCGAAAGGCCAGGGTGCTCAGTTGAATGCCCATGAGGTGCGAGGACTTTGTGCTGCACTCGATTTGATAGCGGCCCTCATCCGCCATGCAGAACATGCCCGTGCTGCCCTTGCAGATCATCCTAATTATAATGCAGTTGTTTTGTTTGTTGCGTTGCTAGGATGTTCATTGCCGATTCAGTTCAAAGCCTCATGCGTGGATGTTCTCACAGCATTTGCTAGCACCCCGGATGGTGCCCTACGGGTGTGGCAGCTGATGGAAGCGGCTAAACTCGTACCGACGACGACTTACGTCAACGTTCATCCACAACCCGGTATGCAGATGGACCTCGAAGAGGCTGAGAGTCGTGCTGGCTTCTATCCTGTAACAATTGCGTTTTTACGACTGCTTGACACGCTCACCAATCGGCCACTACCGATTATTGTGGGCGGCCCAGTATTTAAGAGTGGCTTTGATCCATACATGAATTACCTTCGTGATTCGGTATTCCTCAAATTCCTCAACCGGTCGTACAACCGACCGGAAGAACGCTGGATCGTTGCGTCCCTCTGTCTCAAGGTGATGGAGAAAGTTTTGCGAAAATTTAGTTGTGTGTCAGATAACGTTCTGTTCAATGATTCGACAACACTCATCGTGAAAAACACGACTGAGAATGGCGCCTATCTCGCCTACAATCTTCTTGGACATCTGATGCAGAACGGCCCACTGTTACGGTTAATTCTGAAGATCATTGTCGAGGGTATTTTTGTGGTAGACAGCGATGAGAACGTGCCCGAACAGAAAGAACTGGAAACTGCAATCCTTCTTGCACTCCGTATCATACAGCAAGCGCTTATCCAACAAGAGAACTTCCTGTGCGAAGTGCGCAACTCGAACTCAGCCCTGATCGTCTCTCAGCTTGACGTTTTGCTAAAGGGTGTCAATCCGCGAACGAATCGGGCGGACTATTGCGCGTCGTTCGGTAAAATCGTTGGGTACTTCGAAGAACTCCCACAGCAGGCGCTTGCGGCGGCTCGCATCCTTCTACTGTTGACACGAAAAAGCGCTCTTGCTGAACATTTGGCAAAGGCGTTCACGATGACGACGAACGAAGAATTTACAGCTATATTGAACGGATTTGTTGGCGCCCTCGACCTGCCCGCTTACGAAGAGCCGCCTCCGGGAAAAGAATCTGATTGGTCCGAGAACCAACTTCGCACAGCAATAGCCCAGACAATACTTCGCATTATTCAGCAGTGTCTCGAACATCATAGTGTACCAAACGTAGCCCATCTACTGCTTGGCTTCAGTCTGACCCGGCCACTTTCGGAGACGCAGCTCCAGCCGCCCGGCGTTTACGGCACGCAGAAAAACTGCCTTCACAACACCGTACTTCTGCTCCAGTTGGCTGCGGAAATGCCTGCAACCTTCAGCGCGTCCCTGATTGAACTATGCTTCAAGCTCGTTTATCAGGTTTGCTATAATGTGCATACCAGCAAAGCGACAATTCACTATATACGAAGCGCGACAAACTTTTTCCAGCGCCATCTTGATTGTTTCCCGACTGTTCACGGTGATAGTGGGGGTGGGATGCTCGCGAGCAAGATTCTTATGCAACAGTGCTGGCTACTGAAAGTAATCGCAATTGATCTGCGATTGTCTGCCGAACATAACGTGGGTCATATGAGAAAAATTGTCCGCGTACTTGTCAACGATGAGGGCGCAGTTGATGGAATGCAAAGACCCCTGAGGAGAAAACTGCTGAGCATTCTAGATGAGGTAAGAGCACAGGATACTTCAGTTGTTTCATTGACGCTTGCGTTAGTAGGCTCGCGTTTAATGGGGCGTCTAATACGGTCTAGAGAAAGCTATGTCTAAAGTTAACCAAAATATTTTGCTTTTCGTTTTTTTCTGTTATGTGCTTCAAGATTTCAGTGTTAGCGTATATGTGAAGCGACATGACTACCTTTGAATAGACAAACGAACTAGACGCGTTCTTAATTAAATATATTTAATGTAACGGAGCTTGTGCCACAGTGAATGGTAGCTACTAATATTTTTATGCGAACGATGTGCTTTTGCATCTCAAAGTGGCAGAATAATTAAGTAGTTAATAATATCTGGATTGCTTCTAGACTATTATTACCATTACTACATGCCACAAATAGCTGTTACTCTTCATCTCCGTACTGACAGTTAGACTATCTACTGCTTCTTGCAGATCATCAAGGTGTCCATACCGACGGTTAAAGCTCCGTACTTTGTCCATTTTGACAAAGCAGAAGTAGATCGCCTTCTTCAGGGATGCCATTATTCAGAGAATCCAGATGGGCCCGTACTCGTGGATATATCTGCACTTCATGATTATTTGGCTCTAGAGAAAATCACCGAAGCTGTTAACATATCTGGTAGCGTTGAAGCTCTAAATAGGGAAATTGCAGAGATAATCAAAACTGCCGTCCTCACGAACGCCAAAAAGTGAGTCACATTTTTGCTAGCTTCTCTGCTAGCAAACAGCTTCAGAAGTAGAAGTATACGACATTCTGAAAAGCAGTTTCGTAATGATATCTAAGTACAGGCGTTTCTATCTTATTCTAGTGATGGCCAAAGTATCAGGGGCTTTCTTCAATTGCAAATACATTGAATTATTGTTATATAAGAAATTTACCCGTTACATTTAACATTAATCATCATAGTAGGCTTAAAATCTGTCTGCGTTGCAGCCGATTCGAGTATGCACGAAAAACATGCTTAAACGCGTGGCGCCAGGTAGCCGGTACAATTGTCGTTGCTAGCACCACGGAAGCGCTAGGAGGCGAAGCAAAAATGAGGTTCTTACTTGAAGTGTCCACAGAGCTGCTTGCGTTGATCAACGATCCGCTCAAGTGCGGCGATTCAGTTACACAGCTTTCTGAGGTGGTACTCATTAACATGAGGGCGTTGGCAGAACTCATCAAATATTTTGGTAGTCACAGCCGCATTTTCGAAGAAGATGAGTCGAATGCCAACGGCATCGGAGCCACGATTGAAGTAAACGCCTATGCTGGACAACTGCTGGACATCGTTCGCTCGTTACTTGACGCTTTAATGAGGCACCCGATCAGTAAACAGCTAGCTCGCAGCAACCTGTACGCTTCGCTCCTCAATATTCTAAAAATTGCCAAAGTTCCCAATGACGAGGAAATTACTGGCGCTCGAAGATCAGTTGGAGAGCGTGCGCTCAACACAAATGACGCACATGAGAAACTGCAAAGGTATGTCAACAAATAATTGCAAAGATATCTCAGACATTTTAAATTGCATCGAGATGGGTAGATAGGGGGCAGGACAGAAGTATAGAACTTGACTAAGTTCTATACTAGTTCTAAGTCGTTCAAGGTCGTTTCACTAGTCGAATGACGAGTCTCTAAAAATTCTACTATATAAGCTCATGATGTGTGCACGTGTTGTTCTATTGCCTTGGCAATATTTTACAGATCTACTACAGACAAAATCAATTCGTACGGTGATACGTTTAGGGAAGTGGTATGTCGAGATGTGTGCTCCGGCCATACGGTCATTCGCATGGTAGCGTTGTCGCTTATTGACGACGTTCTATCAACCGACTATACCGGAGCCTGGCTCGACTACATCAGCCGCAAAGGTTACCTAACCCATTTGATCGAAAGCTTGGTGCAGGACGATCGTGAGATGGTCACACTACTCGAACGGGGCGGGGGCGATGACAAACCAATTCTTCTTTTCGTGTCGAAAGTAAATGTTCTGCAGCGGGTATCGAAGTGTGAACGTGGCGCTCGCATGCTGCTGGACTCGGGCCTAATCAACAAACTCACCGAACTAGGCTCGTTCCAGCGCCGTCCCGCCAACCCTACTCAAGGTGTGTTAACTGGCGCCGTCCTTTCCAACAGCCGAAGTGAGTTGTACCAGAAAATGTTTGCGCCCGTCATGCAACTCCTCTGCGCTATATCTTCCGCAGTAAAATGCAACAATCAGGACTGTATCAGTCAATTACAGAATTTCCTAATGGCCCATAGCGATATCTTCATCGTCATCCTTCAGCAGAGACATAACGATGATGTGAGTGAGTCGGCGTTAACGGAGATGGCTTACACATGCAAGGTGGTTGCTAGAGCGGGATCACATCTTGTCGGCGATGTTCACCAGGGCCGGATGCACCGAATGCACGAAACTATGTTGGCGATTTTGCCGTGGGCGATCGAACTGAACATAAACGTCAAGTTAGAGACTATTCGACTCGAGATCATTGAAAGCATTTTGCATTCTTGTGCTGACCTCCTCGCGCCCACGATCTACGACCGCAAGGCGTGTTATCTATTGTTCGGTCCGAACATAATGGCGGCGAGCGATACGCCACAACGATACAACGTAGGCCAACGCGGCCAGGAGCCAATTAGCCCGTTGCGACTCGGTTTACTTGTTTATTCGCTGACAACCTTCGTCCAAAATCTACAGCGGGCGACTGAACAAAAGAAGAACAAATTCCAGAAGCTGGAAAAAGTCAACGAATTAACCGCAGTTGAACTGAAAGAGATGCTGCCAGAAGATACCCGAAACGTTCCTTTAAGCACGTCGCTACAGAAGAGCATCGTACGCGATTTTCTTGCTAATGAGGTAAGTTCTAAACGCTTCTGTTCTGGATATACTTGTTAATGGTTTCATTGCTTTCAAGTCCTAGTTAGTGTTGATTATCGTTATTATTATTATTATTATTATTATTAGTGGCCGATCTGTTGTGTACTTTATCTGCACGTTCGTTTCCCTTACTAATGTCGCGGCGACGCGCCTTTGGTAATAATCACAAAGAGGTAGCGTTAAGAGGTCAATTTTTGGGTGCAATTTTGTTTGATGGCAATCCGAACGACTGATATGTCATATCTTTAGCAAATGTGCCCATGTACAAGTCACTCCTAGATGGCCTAACACATACAACAGTGGCATAGATCGCACGTATTCAAGATACAACGCTTTTGCTCGAGTTGATTTAAGAAAATTTTTGTTATCTGCATTATAAAGGAGTGTGTATCACCTCGTTATGAACCTTTCAGGTGAAAATGCTCAATTGCCAGGTTGGTCTGATGGCGTCCATCATCGAACAGATGATCTATATTCTGTGGCGGCATCTGGAATTCTACTTGCTGCATTACATCCCGCCGCACGAAACGACACTGGAACAGTTGACTCGCAGTGGGGGCGACCATAGGGGCTCACTGATTCCTGGTAAAGGTGTGGGACCAGCCATCACCAGCGAAGAAATTGAGGCGATGCGGGCTTCGTTGAGAACCGTGTTTACTGATAGCTATTTCCGTCGACTAAATCAGGCACAACTGATTATTGAAAACGAAAAACTCAGCACACAGAAATTCATCGACCCATCTGTTCGGCGACTCAAAGACTTAACGCGGTAATCGACAACTGAACTGGCTAGTTACGGCCTTCCAGATGTTCCAGCGAAGTATCTTCAATCCTATAGATGTTTATATAAACCACGGTTTTTTCTTTCAAAATGAAAAAGCAGTCCACCTGTTTGGAAGAGAAAGCAGCGGGCATCACCATCGAAACAGCCCTGGTGTTTAGGAATGCACAGTCTACTTTCATTATTCTCTATGGCGGCCCGTGTATTTCCCCATGGGTAGAGGCCACGCTATAATTTCGATACGTCCGACTTGACGTATATAGAAGCTTCCATGATAAATATCGCTGTGGTGGAAGCGACAATGCCAAAATCGACACCCGAAACGTATGTGTGTGCTTTGCAACTACTGACACATAAAGGTAGACAACAAAAATAATGTCGGTCATTGACGGTGAGTTGTTTGGACAGCGTCAACGAAATATCGGAGTTGATTTCGTATGTTATAGATAATTATGAAATTATTATAATAAACGAACGTTTAACTAAGAGTTAGGGAAAATATGAATCGGATCATGTTTTGACTGAGCGAGAGTAAGCAATAGTGTGGCCGAATATGAAGTCGCATATTGATTCCGTGTTGATCATAATAAGTTATTAAGTATGTAGCAAGAATACCTCATTTGAGAAATTACCCTTATGCTAGCTTCGGCAAATAATAAACGTACAAATGAAAAATATACGTCGAAAATTGTATCAAACTAGAAAAAAAATGAACTGGCAGCTAACGGAGCCAGTTCAAAGAATAGATAGAAGAATAAATAGAAATTGAATATCCTCGTGCTATCGGTTTTTCATGTATATATATAAAACTATAAAGTATATACATATATAATGATATGTATGTTATCAACAGTCCTACGTTCCGATACGTTTTTATGGCTATTTCACATAATAATGCATAATAAATGTAATGCCATGTATATTTAAGAAAGTAATGTGGGATTTTTCCTCAGTGTGAGTCTTATTTTCTATAACAAAGTAGAAATTGAATTCGAATTAATTACAATATTTACGCTTCAACGCATGCGAACTTGCGTTTAGATATCTTTCTTGTATTATTTGTACCTAGTGATGGAATAACTGACTCCTGTTTTTATCCTGCTTAAGAAGAAGCCCATGTTTGACAAGTATACATGGATACGCAACAGTTGTGTGTCAAATTAGTAAGTTTTCCTTACGATTAGGTTTACTTAGCTAAGATAAGGGCTACTTCGCTATCATTAGAAGCGTGCAATTTTAGCAAACAAATATAGACAAAAGTAGTTCAGGTTGTGTTTAAGAAATCCATCCGAATTAAACTTAAGCTTGAACTTTTTTTCTAGGGAAAACTAATCTTTTTCTATATGAGTACATTTGAATTGATGTTTAAATTCCTTGAATGTGACAACTACGGCTGCATTCAGCCAACGAACCAACTTCTTTCAATAATAAAAATGATGCGATAGATTTCCAATGTGATCAATATACAATTGTTCCTGAACATCGGTTTACATTAGTTCTGTTTTTTCGGAAATTACTTCTGAAAATACATTGTTAGTTCTGAAATTTTTGTTTGAATATACAAATTACATTGAATCGTAAAAATCCTGACGGTATCAGTGCACATCTAGAGAATGTAATAATTTTCTATGAATTTCTCCGTAAGAAATTCAAGCGTCTGAACATTTTCACGTTGTTATATTTAAGAAATGCGATCACGTTTCAAGTTTAAGAAGGCCTTCGGAAAGTAAAAGGATGTTTGAGGATAAGGATGTTTGGTAGTAGAATGTCGCGTCGAAAAATTAACCAGATTTTGTAGTCCCAGTTAAGGCTATTGGTTTGCTCTCAAGTCGAAAAGCGTCTCGTCGATTCAGTTTCAATAAAACTTAACAATCGAGTTAGTCTTCTAGAAATCAAAAAGTTTTTGAGCTGAGCTTACCCTGCCTCGTGCAACCTCACACTTTTAGGGCTGATGGGAAGATGTATGTGGAACGATCAACGTTTGCTAGTTTTCCTTTCAAGATAGACTGCTGTTGAATCCTGAAAGATACAGTTATGGGCGGTTTTTGCCGAAAAGTTGAATCTCTAGGCGATTAGAGGGGCGAAAAAAATTGCTCTTATTGTCGTATGAAACCGAAGAAGGGAAGTAACGTAGGGTACAGCGCGATAATTCTCGGGTTTTTGAACTATTTAAATCTGCGAAGCTCTTGTCGAAACCGTCGATTAACTGGAGCTTTTGCCTATTTTATAAAGTCATCGTATGTATAGTACAGCAAGGAAAGAAGGTAGACCTATTTTCGCACATAGTTCATGTGCTAATTTAGCAATGTCTGCAAAAAAGGAAAACACTCGTAGACAATATTCGTGTTTAAAACGAATGTGGAACGACATATTTATTCGTTGTTATTCTGTCCTACTTAAGAAAATAAAATTACGTTGGATGTTCGATATAATATCCGATCGATCGAACACGTGACGGATCACATTGACACACTGGTTAGTGTTATTTGTTTGTAGTGGGTATCTCTTCTGAACATAATTTGCAGCGCTCGTCAGCAAACTGAACAGGCATGAGATCCTATTTCTACCATTAGGGCGTCTGCCTCTCGTGAGTTCTAGCAGTCCAAACTTACTGAAACCTTTTTCATGTATGTGTCTATGTAAATAATTAGCTTCTCAAATGGAAGATACAGACCGACTGCTCATTTAAAATATGAAATTCTCGGGTTCACTAACAAGCTTATAGTGCTTCTTCTTTTTCTTTTACGGATCATGTGGTTAGAATGATTTGCAGGCGACCAAAAAGAAGTTGTTTACTGCGATCAGCGGCAGTGCTGCGATAGACGTATATTTTTCAAGCAGAAACAACTACGAGACGTATAAGCAATTTGGGTTGTTTTTTCTTAATCAAAGGCAAACTATGAGTTCTGCTTGCATGAAAAATACGAATTAATGCAGGTACCGCCCAAAAGACACCCACGGTTCGATTTTACGAACGGACTAGCGGATTAATTTCTTCCTATCATTTGGAATCTATGGACGAAATGTACGCGAAATTTTTCTGATTATATGTATTTCTCGAAGCTCGATCAAACAAAAGTCAACGTGCTGTCACAGAGAACGCGCAGTAATACGTTGCCTTTGGTCCGTATTTTTACCTTTCAATCATCACATTTGCTTATACATATTTTGGTTTCATCAAGTTCTTACGTCACGTGTGCACTGCCATAAATAAGTACCTTGTTTTTAGAAAACACAACGTTAAATCATTTGCATCATACCAATGATGCCGGCTAGCAGTTATATGTTAAGTTCTACGAGCATATACTTGTGAATCTGTTAAATGGTTTGAGCTGTAAAGAACTGTCTGTCCATATACGACTTGCGAAGTGCATTAAGCGAAAATCCGTAACATCAGTCAACAGATCATTTCCCACCTGAGCCTCGTTTCTCATATGTCTATTATATTACATTTGCACTTGTGATGCGTGTAATACGCTATTGGTTTCAACATTAAAGTACAATAAAATCAAGGGTACAGCTGGTTCGTAGATCAATAGATTGCCAGTGAGCTCTTGAGTAGATGACGACTAAAGCAGATTGTGGATAACACCTAAGGGGTATATCCCTTTTAAAAAAGCCATTAAGAGCTTACTCTTCGCTAATGTATTGCCGACAGAAACATTACTCATCACAGTGCCTTCCAGAAGACTTGCACTATTAATATCACGCCTTGAACGCCCACCAAGCTTATGATCAGCTGTTAAACTTGCATGATTCATAATTATGAATCATGTAGACATAACCATCATTTATTGCTAGTCACCTTTTATATCCACAGTTGATTATCGACATATTACATAAATCATCAATAGAATACTTAGTGTGAGAAAGGGATAATTTTTCGTACTGGGGGAAACTCGCACGTTATAGGTATCTAGGTTTACTGGGCCGATGTTCGCACCACGCAAACACGCCTTTCGTAAACCAATTGTTTGTGCCCTTCGCTCATCACACACCTGCAGCACTGGATATATTTGTATATTAGAAATACTTCCTAGGTAAGATAAAATTCTTTAAAGACTGAACGAATCATCATCTTTGTCATAACCACTATCTTCTGAAGATAGCAAGGTTCAGTTCCTGCCAAGTCGAAAACCTATAGTCATGAACACCCGATTAGTGTACGGAAAGAAGAGCTCGAATCTCGGGCTTTTCGGCAGCTTCCAGGTAGCTCTGGCCGTCTGGCGTCTTCTTGTCTGTGATCGATGCCCCCTGGAAATGAGTGGGAGAATTGCGGAACGATTGCGGTTAGAAAACGTAATAGAGAATGCCCTTTGGAAGCCGAAAAAAAACAATTAAAGTGGAAACTATTAAACATTCACGAATTACTTCACTATGACGTATGCTTATGCAGCCAAGCGTCGATTAGTGTTTGTATCACATATAATACTATACTGTGTAAAAACATTATGCAGTGAAATCATTTCTAGACACATTTTTTGATTGATTAGAATTCGTCGGTAGTATCAAATACATTTTATCGTCATACTTGCTTATTAACTCTAATGAAAGCAATTTTTTTGTAGACAACAAGGTCTTTTCACAAAAAACTTATGGTACCAACGCAACAATGCTACTTATAAAATATATTGCACGGTATACTTCAGGTTGAAGTCTAAATGGCTGCGCGGCAAAGAATCCGCATAGCATTGACCCGTTCCTATCTAAACAAAGTAACGTATACGAAACTTTGGAAGCCACTACTTTTAGAAGCTTATTTACCTAATTCCTTAACGCATATTTGCCTACTAGGTCAGGCATGTCCAACTGTCTGCCGAGTCGCGAATCTGATCAGGTTAATTCCAACTGCTAGTTAGCCGGAAATGCGACGTCGTCAGCTCAAGCAACGTGCGCATGAAGAATAATATGAAGGGCATAAAATGACGACGCTTCAAGAAGTATCAACAGATACTGTTCGAGTAATACAACAATAATTCATAGGAAAGGCAGCGTTCAGTATTCCACCATGGAAAGTCTCGCAAAAGGCTTATATTGCTCTTTTTCGATAACATATTTCGACATCATTCTCCAATAGTCTCTTACCAATGGCCGAAAAGCGTATTACTTTTGATGACAGTACACGTTTCGAAACTCGGACGAAAACACATCCTCAGTTCAGATTACAATGTACTGACCAGAATCCAGTCTTGGAACAAAGTAAAAGGACATCATACCCCGTACGGGATTATTCCTCCTGTTCTACTTTTTTTTTTTTATTTTTCTATGTTTAAGTTACAATTGTAGAAAACAGAAAAACGCTTCGGCCTTACCTCTGCGCATTCGCGGCAGACACGCGAACTATTGTACAATAACGAAAGGAGCACTGTAAAGGAGCCTGTTTCAACATGTTTCCATTGATTCAGTGAAATCCTTTTGGGTACCATTGCTATAATGCGCGAGCGTACGTGAACATGCAAGTTATCCGTTTAAAGGTTTTTCTCAATCTGTTGAAATTTTCATGCAATCTCTTTAGCACGCAGGTTACGATCCAAAGACATGGATCTGCACGTACGTACTTTTACATTATTTTTAGTAAGATCTGCGCGATGCGACCAAGTGAATTCATCTCATTTTAAAAACTTTATCAAAATTGTAAGTTCGTGGGGTGAAACTGATACTCTGATAGTATAAAGCAAGCTATAGATCTGAAAAATCAGGAAGCTTGGCAGTTCCGTTATTGAGAAGCACTATGTTGGTTAGACATTACTCAACGCACGCTGTTCATATTATAGCTGGTTATGTAGACGTCTTAGTTCCAGCGCATAATATATATGTATATGTTAGTATGAAAAAGATTAATATATTACTGGTAGGCGCTGTAATACTCAGCATAACAAACCCTAGGATATGAGGAGCTTTGCTGATCATTGTGACAATCTTGTACAGGCAGAATTCCTTCTGAGACCACCTACATTTAGGCCCTTGTAATTTTACGGAAAGTACCACAAAAAGCTCTGCAGGTCTTGTTGTCCAGATTATGTTAATGCATTCAATTTTCAGGCTGTTATTAAGTCCGAGATGCGTGGCTGCGAGACGACCCCATCCGATACATCGAACGAACGCACGTCCATGACCAAATGCGATGGTAACTGCCCTACTAATGACTCCGCTTCAGTCATACATGAACACATTCACCGTTCGCGAGCCTCACAGGAGTCATGAATTCAGGTAGTGACACTGCAACAAGGTGATTTACGAAGCCCTTATACCGCAACAATTTTTCAAATCCTTTTAGGAAGGCCTCGAACCTAAGCGGCACCTCAATATGCTTTAATAGAGATAGTTTCTTTTACACGTACAGGTTATCGCCGTCGTTTTTGGTGTAGATATTATTCTCTACGAAATAATGTCTTTTCATGCACAACCCTTCGGGTCGTGAATTCATATCACATCCCAGCGTTCCCCAAAACACATCCCAGTTGTAAAGGGTTGGGTCTGGCTAGTGTATACTACTATGCTGAGTCGACGCTTTACTTTTGCCAGCCGCCATTTCTTACGTCTTAGCTAATTGCCCAGGTCTTAAAAATTTGGGGAATTGTAGCTTCCGTGTAAAGACGACTTTTTCGATATTCTCTACCAACACTCGAAGATTCCTTGCCAGTTTTTTCTAGCTTTCTATCAACACATCTAAAGGCAATTCTCTCCGTTCTCGCTGCCTTTAATTGTACTAAACGTATAGATGAAGAAGCATCAATAGAAACGTTTTCACTTAGGTATTTACTAATATTGCGTCACATACCTATTAGACTTGTGATTGTAACGAGTCAGGCTTCCTATAAAAGAAGAGACATTAGCAAGAAGAATTAACGAGTTAGCTGACGAACTAGTATATAGACTACATATTTTCATTCTTATTTCTATGGTTAAGTGAAAGAACTTGTGTTTTCCAGCCTAGCTTAGTTGAATTATCCAAAATTGCAATTTTGGGTTGTTACACTTGTTTAACTTAGTTTGTAAGTGTTTCGAAGGTGCACCAGATTTCTCCAAGTGCTTACCTACGGAGCGATCGGTGATCTTCTAATTTATTTATACGAGGAACTGAACAAGTTGGATTGGTTTTTTTGCAACATATATATATATATATATATATATATATATATATACGCCTATTTAACCCATTATTAGCGATAATTTCAAATGTCTTTTTATACATACGAATAATTGTTTTATTAGCCCAGTTTATAAACCCAAAAGAATGGTGCTTTATCCCGTAGGACACACGTGACGCGGAAGAACCTGCCTTATTGCTGTTCGATATTTAATCGAGTTTTACCTTCCGGAAAAATCTGGGACAACTTACACATTCAAAGGAACTACGCAATGTCTGAGAGCATCTATAGGCGTCCATTAAGTCACAGACCTAACCTTTAAAGTTGTGGAGTTGTTCTTGGCCAGAAGAATAATTCAGAGCTTTCCTCGATACTACACATATAAGTTAGATAGAAAAAAAAAACAAGTTGTGCAAAATATGTTCACACTTCAATGATGTCAGATGTTGCCGAGATATCGTATTCTGCCACTGCCGTAGATCAGATGTCATAACCTATCCGAAATAGCATCGTTCGAGTTATTACAGCCTGACCCCGGTTATCAGAGCCAATACGTTGCATCGTAGAGTCGTAAACGTCTCCCGGAGCCTTTTGCCAGATTCGAATGAAAGTGGGAGCACTTCCAGATGGTTTCCAACGTATAGAAGCATCCTTCAAGCTTCACTTCGCCGCTGAAGTGCTACAACTAGAAGAGTCATTTTCGCATACGATACCAATATCTACGACTAATCGAACGAGATCCTCCCTTCTTGGGACGTTCTGAATCGAACCGGGTAAAATCTAAAGAACAACATCAGTTATTATGAGTCTGTGTTATTAATATATTTTTGTATTCCTACTAACCTATTAGTTTATGTTTGCGTCGAGTACCCAGAGCGCTCAAAAAGTGAAGTGTCCTTAATTACATTTGGACATGTTGCTGACTTAATAATATATATATACGTATATATAAGTCTGTTAGAACTGAATTCGGTAGACTTTGAAATTGAAGTTTTTTTAACCGTGCTCCGCTAGTGGCCGAAATTTCGCCCGTAAGAACTCTAATTTTCTAGAAACGTGTCAAGAAAGAACGACTGAATTTATTCGCGGGGAAATTATAAATAGGAAAAGCATCTCTTAGTTTCAACACTTTCAAGGGATCAAATTTTTATTCCTCAAAGGCCACAGCACTGCGTAGAATTCTTGAATACTGGTAAAGATATTACGCAAAGAGGTCTTAAGTGAAAGCGTCTTAAGAACGGAGATCGGAGGGTTGAGGAAAACGTATTGCTGCAACTGAGGAGGCTTTTTGTGAAAGCAGAGCTTAGAGTCTGGAGCTTTGCAAATTAAATTTGGTATTTTACGTGTAACGTGTTAAAATAATAAATACGTAGTGTGTAAAATACAGAAATTGAGTAAAAAATGTGTCCTCCGTGAAGTGATCCCGGGCCAGTTGAAGGTCCGTGTGGTACATTTCCCGTGAAATTTAAGTAGTTTAAATTGACAAAAAAACTTGTTCAAAGCATACAGTCGCGCAAGACGAGCCATAGTTCCATCTTTACCACCAATCGAAGAAAGATCAGGAGAAAAAATGGTGTCTCTCAGAACAGATTTCTATTCAGAGCGACGTCATTTTCTTCAACGACAAAATTCGCAGCAACTAAAAATTGAGTTCGATGACAGTGTATCGTAAGTTTGAACATAGTGTGATGGTAGTACTTGCACTGGACATTAGGGGCATCCGCTACGATACTTCGCCTAAAATGAAGCAAGTTCCCTAAGGCACTCAAAGAACATTAGCATAACGATCGAAAATACTAGTTACTTGATAATAATACCAGGCCCATCATCATACTTCAGTGACATAAAAAAAATCATTCAATTAACTTGGCGGCCTGAATTAATGTGGACCGCGGCAATACTCGCCAGGAGCTGCTAAGCAAAAAAGGACTGATGGCTACCTCAGTACTTCAATATTCATTGGCCTTGAATTTCGGCAAAATTAAAAGTAAGGGAAGCAATAATTCCATATGCCAGCTAAATGCTGACGTTTAAATAAGCAATAAGGAATGGCGATCTATGTTTACATCCTTCGAATTAATCTTTTCTAAGGCTGTCGCTCCACGGCGAGTGATAATTCCCCACAAAAACTTTTTCGAGTGTTTTTTTGCAGCAATTTTCATCTGGTAAATAATCATTACTGCATCGAAGCTGCATCAAGCAGATTATAACTTGACAGACTTGGACTAACTTTGCATGCATCAACGTGAACTTTTAGAACGTATGTTTTGTATAAACAACCGAGTCGCTATCAAGTACGAATTATAGCGGCCCAGCTTTGTTGTTCCCACTAGGATTCTTATTATTTTATTGTCTTTATTAAACATCATATTAAATCGTAGGTATCGAATTGCTCGATTGTGGTAAATTAGAAAAAAAAGTAGGTTCTACTCCAGAATTGCATAAAATGATATAAAAAATTGCGCATAGATAGTATGCTGTTTCGTACTTTACGGCAGATACGTTTCTACAGTAACGTAGAATACCTTGTCTAAGGCCCTACCTAAGGGCTATATACTTACCTTACTCAACAAAAGGTTGACGCAGTCAGTATGGCCTTCCCAGATTGCCGCTAATACAGGAGTGATTCCGTATTGATCTTCAGCCTGCAAAGAAAAATGCGATGGGCTGGTTACATGCGCGTAAAGTACGAGTGTTTTCATTGAAACCATAAACTTATAATACGTTGAATGCTGAACTATGAGTAGAATAGATAGTGTAGACGAAGGTGATGACTATCAAGGACTATTTTGTATAATTAGAAAAAAATACGCACAATAACAATAAGAGAGTAAGAGAAGTTCGTACGAACGTACGTAAAGGTTGTATGGCCACGAGGCCCCCGCAGCAATGTTTTAAAGCGAATTAGGAGCCAAAACTTATGCGAGGCTCGAAGCCGAGGGCCAAAAAATATACTTATATAAGCTTTTTCCCTCAACCGTCAACTAATCCTTCTTCGTTGAACGTAATTGTATAGGCCTGATGACGTACTTCTGGCATTCATGGAACACTACCCTATGGTTGCCTGTTTGGCGGTTATTTTAACGCCGGCAACAACTGCACAAATTACATCGATCTATCGAATGCTACCGACTCCTGCCCCTGCTATAAAAAAAACTAGAAAAACTAATTCAACCAAGAATTGACTCTAAATGGTCTGGTGATTAAAAATGTGCCCAAACAATTTTAGCTATTAGCAAAAATCCTTCTTTCTCGCTTCGTGTAAAAAACCGTTTCTGTTATTCATTTAGTTCAGCGGTAAAATAGAACAAAGGAGTGGTTATGGCTGACGCCTCTACAGATATTTGCTGTCGGAATACGCTTTTTCGTCTGCTTTAACGAAGTCCTTCCGCTTCGACGAGACAGACGAGTGACGCTAGAGAGCCGAACGAATGTTATGGGGCTCCTCCTGACAAAGGATTTTTTTCGAGCTCACGATGTCGCATAGACTCATCCATACACACACACACACCCACACTCCTCAGCACTCATGCACAAATACACACGCCATTCATATACATACATATATAGACACGTACATATATACATGTATCTGTACGTGTATATGTGTATATACATATATATCACAGGAATACTATCGCATTCTACAGTAAAAACGTTGCTAAATGACGAAATGCCTCCCGAAACGTTACGTACTTCATAGCCCTATAATGGTGATGCTGCTGCTACTGTCAGACGAAAAGTTTTTCGTTTTCTTTCGCCTGTCTGCTCCGGAACCCATGGCGCATAGATGCCGAGCTTACCATCGGAGTTTACGCTACGGGTCCTTTGCTGCCTGTTTTCCGTTTCTCTGAACGGAACACGCTAACAGCCGTTTCTGTAACGGATATGAGGCTATGTTCCAGTTCACTGACGACCGTACGAGTCCTTGTAAACGAGCTACTACTTCTTGTCACCGATAGAGCATAACGCCTGCGCTTATTTGACTGTCTAGTCAGAGGGGGAAAGCCAAACTAATGAAAACATGCTGGAATAGGGGTAGCGGGAGGGGTGCGTTTGTTTGCGTAGGTGTAATGTCTGTCTGCTTGTCTGTCCTAATGGAACTAGGTGGCATTTTTAGTAGCTAATGTTCACAATAACACTCTTGACCGTTGCATTGACCTGCTTTTTTGCTGCTGAAGCGGTTCCACCGATTTCTAAGCAACTTTACAAGATCAGCATGCATTTCCATCGCTCTGGGACCGCTTTGAATCATTGCACAGATCGCTGCTGGTATTGTGGTAAACCAGTAACCATCGGAGTATGTGTGTGTTAGGGGAAGGCAAAGTAAAGGATCCACTGTTCGTGAGCAGAAAAGAAACAACACTCTAATTACAAAGAAGCATATATTTGTCGTCCATGGGACGTTCACGGCTCCACAGTTTGTTATTTTTTTTCCATTTCGCTGGCATCGAATTGAATTCGTCGAACTACGCGAGCGCACACAAATGCACCATTAACACGTTTTGCAAAAACCATCTGGCTCCGCGCCAGTTCTGCCACATCGATGGTCGACCAACGGACAACTATAGAGCGTATCTGCAGCGATTATTAACCCGCAACGAAAAACAACATCGAAAAAAAAAGAAGAAACACTAGAGCAATATAGCAACAATGTAAAAATAATAACCTTACTGGTTTACCTTCGTTTATTGGATAAGGTTTACGAATTGGGCTAGCAGCGCCAGTGGTCACTCGCAGTGTTTTTATATTGCTCGTCGCAGCTGTAACCAGTGATGTGTGAGTCCGCATCCGTGATTGTGTCTGCCTATACGTGTGTGTAGAGAAGTGTAACCGAAAAAGAACGTCATAGAAGTTGAAGTCTGCCCCAGGCGTAAACACCCAATGCTAGATAAACAATACAAATGATCGAGGATAGCTAGCACACACACACAGACACACATGTGTGTATAGCACTATTTTATGGGGGTCCAAACGAACATAACATAGTCTAGTAACAGTAGTAGCATATGCTAACATAACGTATCATCAAAAAATAACTGTATGAAACACAGAACAAAGTAAAAAACTATCTGGAAAGAAGGTGCCATCGTGATGACCAGATGTAAGCAAACCTGTATGAATTAGTATATCTAGGTGTAACACATATTGAAGTTGAGGCGAAATTGCTGGCTAAGTAGGGGGCGAACTCGTTCTCAATTAAGAGCAGGCTGCGACTAAAGTAGAGGCAGCGTAAAAGGGCGGCATAAACTGCCCCAGCAACAATAAGAGGAAAGTAGCGGTGTACTGTGAAAATGTGTGTTATTTCGGAAGTCGCTATTGCAAAAGTTATCACTGCCGTGAGGAACAGTCACGTATTGAACTTCGAGCTAAGGAGAGGACATTAGCCCTGTAAACCTCATTCAGATGACTATTGACATTGGACAAACATTAATAGAAATATAACAAAGTGAACAAACAGCAACTGCTTTTCGGCCGCGAATTAGATGTATGCTTATCGTGTATAGTTTTTCGACGTCGGTGTATCAACAGCTGATCTAGTAATAGCTAGAGTTCCCTTGATGAATATGTAACGTGCTATTTTTTGTCGTACAACACAGGCTAAATATCGTGCGCGTCTCGTAAAGTCGCACGGAGATCAAAAACTCGATGAATCTGATGATAAGGAACATTAAACAGACTTGTGACAATAATTAATCTTATCTCACAACGGTCTAAAACATTCCTAAAAATATATGAGACAATTTAACAGGAAGTGGCAAATTCATCTCTGGCCGTAAGAGAAAGGGAGCTGGGTAGGCACACGCCATGACAAGCTTCCGCAGTCTGGATTGCAAAACGCAATAAAAATTACCCAAACGAACACTTTTTACAGGGGAGTTACACGGGTGCGACATACACAAGTAACTAAAATTATCTGTAATTGACGTTTTGACAGGCTTTAAAAATAATAGCCTTAGGTAAATTCATTTCGTTTTCAGGAATTAGGAATGCCTCTCGTTTCTATAGGGAATGTTTTAACAGTATTGAAGGACGAAAACCCAGATCCCTTAAAAACAGTCGGATCGCCTCATTCTTATTAATCCTTTGAAATGGTCGAAGGCTGATTGATGTTTCAAGAAGTCATTTGGTTTCTTGAATATTGAATATAATAACACATATTTAATGTGCTGACCCTGACTGGGAACTGTTTTTTTTTTCTTTTTGTATAGTGTTGATTTTCTATTTCAATTTCTTTCTCGCCATTCATTACGTTGGCTGAGATTTATGGGATATCGTTTAAAGCGCAGACCCAACGAACCTGTTAAACTGAATATTAATTGTTTTGCATGCAAGAACAACATTCATTCATTTAGACACAAATCGCCGAGCTGTCAGACTATCAAATACTACATAAGTGTATGTTGAAGCGCGTACTTCGCATTTATACCGAAGTTTGATACAGTCTATTCATAAAAAGCTAAGCCAAACTTGTGTGGGCTGCAAAGCCCAATGGGACCCCCTACACTTGCTGGCTTTTTCTTTACGCTCTACTGTCGTCTGCTTTGGCGGACTAATGGTTAATTTGGCTTATTCCACAAAACACCAATTTCATCACTGCAAATTTGTAATGATCGAAGGCTACCGTGTTGTGAATTGTACCATTGTAAATACATGATCTATACAATGACTTGTGAACTCATCCGAATATAACTGAGCATTTTTGTTGTCCTTCGCACCTGCTGCCTTATATCGCTGTACCTTTGCGAGTTTATGCTATATGTGAATACTTAAGGGAAGAGGTCCTAGTTTACGTAATTCGTTCGACTCCGACATTCTCGTACACAGATACAAACACGTTACCTCATTGCTATCTAGAAAATGTTCTGACCCAACCGCGCGAAGGAACGAGACAATACACATAGAACTATATGTAATCATTTTTAAAGCAGGGGGTAGTCCCTACCGAAAAAAAGGCACCTCACTGCACCGGGAGACCCCTTAAATCCTTTTAAATTGATCGAATATGAATCGAAATAATCACTAACGCGAGGGATACTACGCAAATCGATTCGAACACACAGAAACCTGACTTATTCGCAAACGAATATATATATATATATATATATATATATATATATGGCGAACCAGGAACGATTCGGTTTGTACATATATTTACATGACGCGGTCGCCCAGTGCGATAACGATAGCAATAGTATGCCAAGTGTTTACCGGAATTTTGAAGGTGGCTATATCGTGAAATATCGCGTTAGCGATCTAGCTAACACAAGTACATTTGTTTTAGTCGATTAACTATCCGACAGGAATAGGTCTAATTCTAGACTTTCACCTGACAACAAGTTCAACAAGAATATATTTTAGATAGAATATTATTTCAAATAAATGGTTTGAATAGGCACACTGTCTTACATTGACGTCTGCTCCTTTAAGCAGGAGGTACCGGGCGACCTCGACCTGTCCGAAGTCCGCAGCGTGATGAAGCGGAGGTCTGCCATCGTCTAAGCGACGATTTACGTCAACGCCCTGAAGTCAGAAAAACAAAATACTGAAACAGACGACGAAGTATTGAAGGCTAGGTAAAATTAAATACAGTTTCATAGATAATTAAATTCTATCCGTGAAAGAATTATGCATATTTATTGAACCACACAAATAAGGACAAGATACCCACTTCTCGAGCATCGAGTAAATGTCTTTACATGGCTAATTTCTGAAGACATTTTGTCATTTCGATATGTTAGTGCCAGTATCTATGGCTCGTCATTACTTGAGGGTTTCATATGAGCACAATGGCTGTCTCAAAGGGTTTCATTAAGCACGGGGAGTGGAACTTCGTGTTCTCTCAAAACACTTACAAACGCGCTTAAAAAAGCTTTACACATTTTGATATCTTTGTAAAACGAATCCTACAAATTAGAATGCAACATTAGATTGAAAACACTTTTTATTACTCATTTAGTTAATAATTTCCTAGTTTCTTGCTCACTTCAAAAATGGATTCGGCTGATTTTGTTTTTTTTTAGTAAACATTGTCTAACACATATTTTGTGAATCGGTCGGTCTTCGATGTCCATACATAAAGCTCACTTATAATATAATATATAAGTAATATCGTGATCATTTGTAGAGCGGAAGCTGATAGTGACTTTTCTTTCCGGACGTCATCTGAGGCCGTCCAGCATTTCTTTACCATATTTTTGATAATTAATTTTTATCTACAACGTAGTAAATAAAGGTACAAGTTTTTTTTTCGTATTTCATTGCTATCAGGGAGCAAGAATAGTTTACAAATTATCTATGATTTCTATGAGAAAATATTCGCCATGTTGAGACAATTTTGTATGCTATGTACAACATTATCATATATAATCTTATAATATCCTCTGTTACTGTATAATATACATGAACCTAATCAGATGTACACTAGAGTATATTTAAACACGCGGGCATATTTGAAATATAAATGGTGATCTTTGTAATGGTTTAGTGTAATAGTTTTCATATGAAATTATTGTTTGTTTCAAATATATCACAGACGATGAACGAAGCGGCCCATGCTATTTTCGCACGTTTTATCACGTAGATAGATGTTTTTTTTGCCGATGTTTATTAATATCTCGACAAGAGCAGGAATAGGAAGCCTCTGCTTCCTCATTCGCCCGAACGTTTTACGCTCGACGCGTCGTGCAGTTACGAACGTATCTATTTTAACGCCAAATAGCGTGGATATTTACTGACTGATTCGATTACCATTAGCAAAACCGTGATTAAAATTTGTGTACTAATTTTATATAGAAGATCGCCCTTTGTTTTTGGCGTAGCTTGTGCTGAGGAGGTTCTTGCGGACTGAAGAGTTCAACAGTCCGACATCAGTAGTTATTGTTTCGTCTTCCCTTTGCTACCTATTTAGTTCTATCCCGGAGATTTTTATTGAAGGACGTCTATCGCGATGTCATCATTAATCTTCTACTACGATGAGTGTCCATTCTAACGATGATTTCGTGGGACAGCGGTTATCCACCAACGTTTGCAATTACAGAAGTCTTTGTTAGGTGTTGCGAAGAACGCGTTGTGCAAAATCATAGTTATATTTTGGAGTGATTTCTATGAACATTTACTTTATTGTCTGTTTGCAATGTGGCCTCATTTTTCTATCACTACGTCGCGAGCATTAGCATATCCGTTAAGATCATAAATTTTATAGTATGATTTTTTTAATTAGTTGTGTATACGAATACAGACCGATAATTATTACTTTTCATACGCAGGTGTTTTTACATGGCTCAGTTCATTCGTGTTCCAGTAGACACTTTCGTAGTTCAGGGCCGTCTAGATGATATTGGAGCACTATTCTTATCCATACTTGCCCGGAAATAATCCTGCATCAGGACCATGATATGATATAACGAGAACTGAGCAAACTTATCTGCAAATCCCTATACGCAGACAGTCACAAACAACAGTCTGCTTCGCAATTTTTTTCACCTCTAGCTAAAAAGGGCTCTAAAACGCTCCGTTTTTTATTTCGTCTTCTTGCTTCATGCTTGGCCACCACATTCGGGGGTTTATTTTGCCTTCCAGTTTTTCCTTTTGACCTTCCCCAAGATCAAAGGCGACACACTGTTCCATTTACTTCCTTCTATAATACCCCAATTGGTATAAACAACACTGTACGGAGGATACGAGTGGACAAAAGCTACTACGGTCAACCAGACTGACTTGTTCACTGCCGCGTTCAGATGGGAGACTCTGGGCAAAAGCCTCAACCCTGAGAAAGGGTTTGCCTGGCGAATAGCCCGGGGCAAGTCAAAAGTATAGGTTTAAAAACCGAAAGCTAACGGGGCCGTATAGCGAGAGACACGTAGTTACAAATACACTTTCATTGGAGGCTTGACAGTCCGCTGCTTTGTTCCACGCCACGCCGTAAACCGGCTGGCCATCACATGGACCTCACAGACGAACGTGTACACATCTTTTACCGAAATCCTTTCTTAGCCTTAGAAGCGTACAATGTTAGCGTCCGTTTGAGGCAAAGATCTGGAGCTTAAAGCTTGACCTAGCTAAGCCAAATCCAGGTTCTCTATCTGCCCCAAAAGGGGGCAAGCCCCAGTTAACTCGGCAAAACCTGAAGGTAAGATTGGACAAAAGAATGTGATCGGAATCGATGACGATAACCGGTCAAATGAAGGTTCATTGGCGCTTCCAGTTTAGCCATGCGAGGTTTTTGAGGTAAATTGGTTGGTTGAAACTAGTCTTTCTGTAAGGCAAATTTACAAGTGCCGAAACAGCTCCACCGCCATCGCAGCCGCTGCTGTCATCAGAGCGCTTGTTTCCGCCGGTTCTATCTTGGGCAAAGCCAATGGCGTGACGACAACGAATATCGTTACTACTTGACTTCGCTTGCGTTTCGTTGGCTGGGACGCAGTGCTGGCCTACCGGACTAAGTCTGATAGGACGGGCGGGTCAGACTGAGTGCACCATTTACTTGATTCTGACTTTGGTGGTGTCTACCGAAAGATCAGGCACTAAAGAACACTGAAAAGACGCTCGTTTTGCTACCGGCCATGGCAAAAATCTGTCGGTATAGCAATTCGTTCAAACTGGTAGCCGTCTATATGTAGACGTATGTAGACGTCTAAATCTGTTATTTGAGAGTTCGTGGGTAAAAAAAAAACTTCACATGGTCATGCTGTTAGCTTGTATTGAGACTTGCTTCTCGGACCTGGCTAACTGACTGCCAGACGTATACATAATTGATGTTAATCTAAGATTAATTAAATTAACTTAATTGACAACGTCAAGCCCTATTTAATAGTTTTATTAGGCAAAGCGATAGAGATTTGAGCGGTAACTAAAAATACGGCAATATGAACACAGCCATCGTTGCATGGGCAACTAATTGAAATCTTCCTTAAACCATATTCCTGGCAAGCTCAGACAGGGTGGCCGTTTCAATCAAGTACACAACTACACCGATTACGTATTTTTAAAGCAGAGTTATGTTTTACTTGATGCCTAGATGAAGTTCGAGGTTGATGGAGTGATCTAGTTCGATGAAGAGTTCCGAACTATCGTTAACGACAGTTGCGGACATGAACCTCAAAACATTGATTTTGGAGTTTTGACAAGAACAAGCTAAGATTTCTAATACAGTTGACTTAAGCTAGGCCTCCAAGAGAAAGAAAAAAATATGCCCATTTAGAAAGTCTAAGACGACTATCTCCTGAAACGTTATAAGGAATCTGGTTGACCCGTTCGAAACTACGGATTACGAAAATCAATCGTTCGACTTATAAGCTCAGAGAAATTTAGTCCATCACGAAACTGGCGAGCCATTTTGAAAACTTCACTCAATGTTTTCAACGTATTTCAGTGGCAACGAGGTTCACAGAAGAAAATGCGGCAAGATACTTTAGTCGTCGAAACGCCTGGTAACACAAGCGCATTTAGATCTCATCATATCGGAGTTAACTTCATTTTTCTCCTTCGCCACAAGCTGGTAAAGAGAACTTGTTTAGCATAGTAATTTTTCGTCAAATTGGTAGTACGGTAATACTACCAAGTTCAATTCTTAACTAATCAGAAAATCCGCTCGTTGTCTTTCAGTGTTTAGGAATTATAATACATACCGATATCGCTTCTGACAAGGTTACAATCGAATTGTTCAAACAGCACGCGAGACACAACACTTAGTGCCGTTAGCAACAGTATAGGACAAACCGTGACTGTCAAGGTAACAATTAGCAGACTTAATTTTTTCCCGCTATAAACCTATTTATTTCTACCTTGTTATACGAAAAAAAAGCAAGTTTTCTCATCAAATTAATAGCCCTTAACACAAGTCAGTGATCCATATGGGCCAGAGTGAAATGGGGCTACAAAGATTAGCATTATTTAAAACTAATATGAACCAAAATGTTATCGATTGCTAATTACACAAAAAAAAAAAGAAAATTAAATTGCTTTTGAGTGGAAGTCACCGTAATAGTCCCATATAAATTGCATGATAAACTAAGCTATCATATGTTTGGGCTTATGCGTATTTGCCTGCAAAGTTACTTTGAAAGAAATTCTGTAGGCCACCGTAAAAATGAAACGCTAAACCCGATACTATTCCAAAATTCAATTCTCTAGATTAGTTTTTGAATTGTAAGTTTAATATGATCACCTAAGATGCTCAATTTGGTAAGGGTTTAAATTCAAACTTCTACGTACTTCACGCTTGTTGCTTTAGGTTAGCTTGAGTCGCCCAAATATTGGGCCTTACTAAACAGCGCACTAATGCCGTTTTCATAGCGCAGCGCCAACACCGTATAATATCGACGGCACATGTGTTTCATTCCTAAATGTATCATATTCTTCAATTTATAGTGCTCCTAAATGACTGTGTTTTCTTGGCTGGAAACGCGTGCATTTATCGACCATTCAAAATAGTCCACTCCGATACTTTTTATCGTCGTTGCTTGTACAGAAGCGATCGATCGAGATCCCAGTTCTGACCTTGTTTTATAGAAAACGTTGTA